TCCATTAACTTTCTGTGTGTGACAATCATAGCCCCAGTTTAAAGCAAAAAAAAATAAATATTTTGGATGGAGTATATTTATACTGTTTAATACTTTAAAGAGTGAATTAAAATCACAAAAATGTTTAGAAAGTCTTTACACAAGTAAATTGTATAAAGTCTTTATACAATAAAATCACCTGTAATATTGACACTGCACATCAACTTTCACTATGTTAAGATATTAAAAATTCTATTTTGCTAAGAAGATAAATTAAGAGTTTCTTGTTTTGATGATTAGTAACATGATCTTCATCCATAGGCTTAAACACCACATATTTGTCCTTTTAACCCTTACACATTAAAAAGTACCCAAAAAATGTAAAGCTTATAGAGAGAAATGACAACTTATGATTTCTATTAAAACAGTAATATTTTGTAGGCAGGATTATACATCCCCCAGAAAAGGGCATTCTGAAATAAGAGAACACATAGAATATATGGTTTTTCAGAAATGACTGGTTTTGTAGATTTGAAACATATTTCTTTTATGGATTTGAGTTTTATTTATTTTTGAAATCCTACTTGTACCCAGAGGTTTTTATTTTTTTCAGTATGGTATTCAATATTGAGCCGTGACCTTCACACTGAACTATACCTCCATCCTGTTTCTAATTTTTAATTTTAAGACAGGGTCTCATTGAGTTACTTGATTGCCCAAGCTGGACTCAAACTTGCATTATTCGTGCTCAGGCTCACAGATTGCAGGAATTACTGGCAAGCACTACTATGCCCAGCTGTAGATTCTCCATATATATGAAAAATGCCCAGCTGCAGATTCTCCATATGAAAAACTGGTCCATGGATTTCATTACAGTTATCTATCATATGCCTCTGTGTCATATCCTCCCACATCCATTCCTTTTCAGTACTTGGTGATAGAATTTATGTCCCAAGAAGTCACATTTAAGATATTTTGATTGTCAATAATGTATGTGAATAGTAACACTTATATTTGATGCCTGTAGGGCAAAGGATGCATGCTGTATGTATTTCGTATCTTCAATATACTATATGGTGAATCTTTTTTCATATGTATTCTACTTTATTTCAAATCAAGAGATCTTGGAGACAGGCACCTGTGTATCTTATCATATGCATTTTTTTTTCTGGTACTGTAATTGAACCCAGGGTCTTTGCTTTGAGCTGTATCCTTAGCCCTTTTTTATTTTTTATATTGAGGTAGTGTTTTTGCTAAATTGTGAGGCAGGGCTTAAACGTGTGATCTTGCCTCGGCCTCCTGGAGTGCTGGGATCACAGGCATATACTACCATGCCTGGCCATGCAAATTTTAGATAATGTTGCTGAGCATAATCACCTAGGGAAATACAGTTTGGGTATTGTTAATGGAAATGAAGAATAAAGATGTTTAAATACGCAGTAGAATATAATTCAAAGTAGGCTGAGAATCTGTTTTAAGTGACTGTGCAGTAGAATATTCAGTTTCATCATCATTACAATATGCTTAGGTAATGAAATTAGCTCTAATGCTGAGATTTGCTCTTGAGCTTACTTTTTTCACTTTTGAAGGCTTAGTTTTATCAACACTAGCAACTGAGCTCTTCTATTACCCATTTTTATAGAGCCTAGGAAACTCTCTCACAAAGTCAGTCTGAAAAACATATTCATCTTTGTGTGCAAAGGTTAAAAAGCAAGCTACCTGCAGCTGAAAAAAACTTATCTTTCACTTTAATTTGTTTGATTATTGTCTTAATGCTTTTTGCTTTTCAAATCTCTTAGAATTTGCTATGTAAGTCAAATACAGCTATTGCATTCCTTATTGGTATCATTAAATTTTCATAGAAATCTTGTTATTGGTGAATTATTAAACACCTTTGGTATCTAATAAACCATAAAACTAATTATCATAAAATTCAGTGTGCCTTTTATAATGACTTAAGCTTTAGGCCATTAAGCTTGACTCTGAGATTGTATTATAAATTTTAATTTCAATGAAAACCACAAAGGTCCCTCACCAAACCTTTCATTTTCTGTGCGAAGAAACCAGTCCACAGCCTCCAACCTGCCTGTGGTTTTGGACAACAAACTGCAGAGCCAAGACCACAACCTCTCTTTTCTGATTCCCAATGGGAAATATTTTCTTTGCATAATTACATGGAATTATAAACAAGTTACATAAACTAGCAACTCCAAAGAACTATTAAAAATATAAAATACAACTTTATTATAAATCCAATCTAAAATAAATACACTGGCAAAAATGAATATGATTTAACTACTGACTTGTGCATTCTGAGAAAGGTTCTGTACTATTGATTGAGATGACTCAGGTCATTTTTCTTTTAAGCTATAGAGGAAATTTTAATGTATGGGGTTTTTGTTCACTATGGTGAGCATGGAGATTTTCCTTTCTTACCCTCATTACTTGCTTCAATTAGAATGTTTTAAAATAGCCATGTAACAGTGAAGTAATTGAGTTTTTAAGGAATTTTTAGTTTAAAGAATTAATAACTTTTCTATCCAGAGTGTCTTCCATAAACCAACAGCATCCAAATCACTGAAGAATTTATTTAAAATGCAGAATCTAGCCGAAGCTTTAGCTAAGCGTTAGAGTGCTTGCCTAGTGTGTGTGAGACCCTGGGTCCCACTCCAAAAGATTAAAAAGAAAATAAAAACCTTAGTTTCTCCTTCCTTAGACTGAGACCTCCTGGATCACATTATGTGTACAAATGAACAAATCCTAACTGATTCCTACACACACTGAGGTTTGAGAATCACTTATTTAGATTGTTAGAAATCTGGAAACGTCACCCTGTTTATTGTCATTTCTTTGTCTCTTTCTTCCTCACTTTTCTTTGCCTTTCCACCCTGAAAAAAGAACAACAACAAAAAAATCAGTCTGGGGCTGGAGGTTATAGTTCACTGGTACAGAGCTTGCCAGTTTGTGCAAAGCCTTGGGTTGGCTCCTCAGCCCTGCAAAAACAACAAAAAATGCATGGGTCTGCTTTCATAGGCAGAAAGAAGGGTAGGTCAAAAGTGTAAAAGGGAGGGGAAGAAATACAGCTCTCTTCGTTTTGGGATCCACGGGGGACTAACTGGCTAATCATTTATCTTTGGAATGTTGTTTAGAATCTAGCAGGACTGTATTCTTTTCCTCCTCTGATTTCCCCTTGAATCATTCACAGTAGTCCCACAACAAGATTGTGTAACTCTGCCGAGACCCAGAGTATAGGAGTTAATTATACAGTGTTGCCTTTACAGAGGGTAAGCCACAAAACATCAAAAGCGAGGACTCTCTGTTCCAGTAAGGTCTGAGAGCGGCACAGGATTTATTGTTGGTTTTGTGCTGTGAATAACGGGTGGCAGGAGGCAGAGAGAAATGGCTGTGATGAAAAGCAAAGTAAGACACTAAATCCAGGCCTCCAAACACAAAGATGACCACAATGTGTTTTGCTTCTAGTGAGTAACGAATTGAAAGACTCTTGTAGTCATTAAGATTTTGGGCTTTGAGCTTAGGCTTTCTTGGTTCAAATCCCAGCTCATCTATTTCTTGGCTGTGTGGCTATAGAATATTTTTTCAATCTTTTAATCTCATCTGAAAACAATTGTGCCCATCTTGCAGGGTGATTATAAAGAGTAAATGAAAAAAATCTGTGTAAAAAATACTTAGCACAGTGTCTTGAAACATATTTAAATATTTGGTAACTGTTAGGGTAACTTTATATATTTACTGATTATAGAACTCTTCAAATCAACTTCCTTTTCACAAAAGCGTGATTTCATGTTTTTAATGTCTATAGCCACAACAAGCCTGCAACTTGAACTAAAGCGAATGATGTGGGCTAACATGTGTTCACTGGTCACCTCTGCCGGGTCTGGTGGTGGCAGAGGTAAGGAGCGCAATGAGAGAAAATGCAAACTCTGAATGGGAAGATGAGGTGCACATTTAACAGTGGAGAAAAGCCTCAGAGCTGAGGCCAAAGCAACCTGCTCATATCCTGAAAATTATACAGTGTATTTGAGGGTGTTCGGAGAGACTAACAGACAACCATCCATATTTATGATTAACAGCTTTGATTTTTTTTCCTCACTCGTCTTCTACAAACCAGGAAGAAGGACAGAATTTTTAGGTAAAACTATAGTTGTGAAACTATAACTGAGTCATAACTGATCTGCTCAACATTTAACCTCTTTTAGGCACAGCATCTTCAGAAGCTATAAGCACTAGGGACCAGAATGAGAGAAAGTAATGACTCAGCCCTTGGTCATGCTTATATAAAAGCAGAGCACAGGCATGCAGGGTGCTCCTCAGTAGTGTGGGATAATTTTGTCACTCTACGCTGACCACTTTTTAATTCTCTCAAAAGAATTTAAACTTTGGAGACTGTGTGGAAATAGAGGGAGTTTATCAATGCTCAATAAAAAGACTGTCAATCCACTGTTAAGATAGCCAGTTTCCTTCTTGAGGAACTTCAGAAGAAAGCGAGGCTTCAAGGAGGTGGTTTAGAAATACCAATGTAGAAAATAATAGTGCTTCTGGGTTCTCTCTCCCTGCGGCCCCTGTGGCCCTCCACTTGTTTGAGCAGTTTTAGAATGATGTTTCTATCTGACGCCTGGGATAGTGACTTTGGGCTGCGGAGAGCAGCAAAGCAATGGAATAGGCAACAGGAAGCTGGGCAGCAGCATCTGCAGTAACACTTACAGAAATCGAAAAGCCAAGGTCTGTGGCAGTAGTGTGAGAACGAACAGGTGGGGTGCCAGGGTCAGGTGTGAAACTGCCTCTTTACAGAGGAGAAAAGGCCAGTGTTCAGGGATGAGCAGCAGGGTCATTTCTGCATCTAGAAACAAGTGTAGATGAGCATTCAACAATGTTAGTTCAGTGCAGTGTGAGGGCACCGAGGTGCTGGCCCAGCCTCCAGCCCGTGATTGCTTCAGATATGCAGGTCCACATCTGCACCTAACCTGCATCTAACTTTCTTTCTCTTTTCTTCTTTCCCGCAGCGCTCATGTATCCCAAGTCAGCAATGTTTCCACAACTGGAGAGTAAGTTATTTGGGTTGGGTTTTTGTGTTTTGAGTTCTTTTTAATTCCTTTTCCATTTATTAAATTAAAAAAGAAGTCTAATGTTGTACAGTATTTATTGGAAGACTAAAATAAGGAGCAAGCAGTTATTTTTAAACTTCCCTATGTACAGAGGCTAGTACTGAAGAAGAGATGTTCCTGCTTAAGCTTGTGTGGGTATGAGATTAGAGGCAACTCCACTATTTAAAACGCTTAAGACTTCTATTTACTTCATTAAAAATAATGTCAGGATCAGTTGATATTTGCAAAACAGTCCGTGTGCTCTCAGAGGCATCTTGCAATGGAGAATGTAATTCAAGTAGTAACCATGTCTTTACTTCCTATTTCCACCATCTTATCGAGCCTACATTTCTCTAGTGCTACAGTGTGTTGAGCGCAGTGTCGGTTGTGTAATGTCAGATGCACATCCTGAGGTCTACCCTCACAGATCTTGCAGGAAGAAAAGCAAATCAGTGACGCCTGTATTTGTTTAGTGTCTGTTTTACCCTATAGGAATGTAAGTTCCATAAACACAAGCACATGACCCTCATGTTCATTGGGGTCTCCTTCACACCAAGAAAAGTATCTGGCATGTATTAACAATAATTAAATGTTCACCAGGTGACTGATGAATGGTTCCTGGCTCCAAGACATTTCCATCACTTCCAGTTCTCTTCCTTTGTTGTTGGGACAGGTGGGGCCTTTTGGGAACATCTTCCTTTGGAAGGGATCAGGGATAGAAAATGGGGAGGCTGTGCCATGAGAGGAGAAAAATAGAAGGATTAAAAGAGGCATTGATCAGAATGAATTTGGATCTAAAGTAAGAGATTTTTTTCTTTTCTGTTGGGTGAGGAAGTAAGCAGAGGGACAGGGTCAACTTTCCTTAGCTTTACCAATTTTGAAAATTAAAGACTGACACATTCCTTTTGTATTGCCTATTAACCTTTCCATCTTACATGTTTGACTCAGTTTTGGAAACTGTCAGTTAGTGTGTGCACATATTAATTTACACATTCTTTGGCACCACTCTTAGGTAATCCTGGGCCACTTGGGACATAACAATATAAAACAAAAAAAATTTTTATTGAAGGTTGGGGTTTGAGACAGCGTCTTACTGTGTGATTCAGGCTGGCCTTGAACTCACTGTATAATCCAGACTGGCCTCAAATTCACAGCAATCCTCCTGCCTCATCTTCCCAAGTACTGGGATTATAGACATGAGCCACAACTTGACTAAAATAAAATTTCTAGTGCCCAAGTTAATGAATCTTTACTTGACTTTTGTCTTAAAATATTTTAATAAAATTTGAAATAACTATCAGTGTATCATAAAACTGCATTTGAAAAGCCTTAAGTTCTCAAAATCTGTCTTAGAGAACAGTACTTCTCAGTGGTAAGCATTTTTTAAAATGTGTCATCATTTTTCAAATAAAGAAAACCATGCTTTGCAGAGTATAAGAATTTTCCAGGGGCTGGGGATTTAGCTCAGTGGCATAAGCACCTGCCTTGCAAGCAGGTGGTCGTGAGTTCGATACCTAGTACCGATAAAAAAAAAAAAGAATTTTCCAGGGTAGCTTTTTTAGAATTACATAGTATGATGACAAAGAATATTTAGATATATAGAAACTTTTAAAGTGATACCATTTGTATCTTATTCTGTATTCTTTTCAGCTTTTTGCACTAACCTGTTTTCCTCAGGCTGAACAAAGTAAATCTGTCCTTCCAACTGGAACTTATTTTGGGTTGGGTTTACTACAACTTCATTTCTGTACATTACAACTTACTTGACTAGAGGCTAAGAAAGATTGTGATGCTGTTATGAGGTTATGTTGTAATTTTTCTGTTTCCCCAGCTTATCAGAAAAGCATTATTTCCTATGTCATTTTATTTAATGGAATTCTAAATATATGGCAGACATTCTAAAACTATTTGTGCAAGTTTGCTTTTTAATCCATGTTGGCATCCTCTGCACAGCTGATGTGGAATCTGGAGGAAACTTGCTTTTGTAAGAATATGTTCATTATTATTCTGCAAAAAAAAAAAATCTTTCCTCTTTCTGCCCTATGGTAAAGGACCTTTATTTCTTGACTATTTCATAATTGTTACTAGACTTACCATGAGCATTTCAGTAATTCTAGATTCACAAAGATGAGAAACACAATTCTCAAACTTTTGGAATTTGTTCCAGTTAGTTTTGCTTTTAATGCACAATGGGAGTGTTTAGCTTCATGCATCACACTCTGTGTTTGCATCTGAAATAGAAATAAAGGTATTTTCAGAATTGGGGCATATGCTTTTTGAAGGAAATTATTGATAAACTTGATTGCCTGAGTGACTCTTTGTTTGGTTTTTGTTTTGTGACCAGACTCTTAGAAAGAACAATTCGAACAGCTGTTGAACAGCATCTTTTTGATGTTAATAGTGCTGGAGGGCAAAGCTCAGAAGATTCCGAGTCAGGATCGTCATCAGCTTCTTCTACCTCCACAAGACAGCGCCGCCGCCAGCATAAGGCCCAGGATGAGGCTTGCCGTGGTGGAAGAGAGCAGTAAGTTGACACCAGTGATTTTTGCTTGGGTTTTCTCTGCTCCTTTTTAATCATCAGACCTCTTGCTCCTCTCCTTTTTCGGTATTTAGGTTGAAACTTTAAAAGTTTACCATTAGACCACGTAAAACTTGAATGACATTTGAAAACTCGTAGGCGATTGATGAATTCCTCAGTTTCAATGAGCTGTTCCACCTCGGATTTAACACCTTTTACTGTTTCCTCTTGAACGTCTTGAGGTAGACAGATCCGGAATCCTGGAAGCAGAAAGTTGCTGTGTGCCTGTGGGAGGCAGGTTTTTCCTTGCTAGCTAACATAAACTAGTTTATCAGTCAGCAGCATTATATTGATCTGACGAAGTACTAGAACAAACCTCTCATATTATGACTCGTGGTTACATTTTAATACAAGAAAGTACTCAAGTCTAATCAAAGGCAGAAAGTTTAAGTTCTTTACTATTTTAGTAACTAACTGTCAGACACTCCCTTTCTTTCCCTATTTTTCCCTTTCTCTTTCTCTGTTCCTCTCCTTTTCCCTCTCCCACTAACCAGCTACTTTAAGGCATTCACACTTCATGAATTTCAAAAATAATCTCACAAGTAGTTTTATTCTCCAAGAAAACATTTGATAAAGTACCAACGACGTTACTACCATTCACATTACTTAATAATTATGATTTAAATAACCAAAGAAAATAACCTGTGTAGGTAACTGACTATATTCACATATGTTCCCTGAGAATTCCAAGCATATTTTTATTCATAGTAGCTTTTTGCTTCTGTATAGTTATTTGAACTCCATATTAAGTATCAATAGCTAAACCAGACCCTACTCATCCTCCTGCTTTTTCACTCAAAATCTATTACCAAAATTCTTATTTTAAAAAGTAACTTTTTTTCACTTAAATAAAAACACAAAAATAGTATAAGTAAATTCTGTGTTACTTATCATTGAAATTTTTAAGAGCTATATTAACAAATGTAATCTCAGAAAGAAATCAGCATCAATGATATAGTTCATGACTGTATAAGTGGCCTGTGTGGTACTTTTAAAAAATTATCTTGGAGCCAGTAAATAATAGTCATAATATTCCATTTAGAAAATAGAAAAACTCCAATACAGGAAATACTTATGTTTAAAGTTAGCTACTGCCTGGGATTCTAGAAAGCATTTAGGATGCTAGTTTATGTTCTGCCTTTATCTTATTATGCAGGAGGTACAAATTATTCACTTAAGTCTCTTCTTATGCTCCACCTTGTTTTTTGCTACACAACACAGAGCCATACTTTGCATTTTAAAATACACCTTGCTTTCCACCCTCTTTGCTTGGACATAGGGTGAACAACTGGGGTGGAAAGTGGTACTGTGTGTGACAGCAAGTACCCACAGTGGTGGTGGCAGTGACAATAATGGGTCACTGGTAGTGGCAGGTGGTGGGCAGCAGAGGTACAATAAAGAATGGACAGGGGCCAGACAGGGCTAAGAAACATAAACATAGGCTGTCCCCTGCTGTGCAGTGTAAATGCAGTATTTCCCAAGTGTGAGGAGGTTTCTTTCATAAATCGTCTTGATTATATTTAAGTAGCAACATCAGGGGACAGGAGGAGGTAGAGACTGGTCACCTGTCACAGACTGTCCAGCCTTAACATCAAATTGGGGATTTCATCACTACTCATTCTGGTCACTCATCCTGGTCAAGCCAGCAGAGGCCATTAAATAAGGGTTTGGATACAAATATTTCAGCAGCGTCAAGCTCCTGTATGTGGCCAACATAATGTACAGTCTTGCCACATCCTTTTTCGTGAGTGTGAGGTCTCGGGATTCAGAACCCCAAGCTCCTTGTGTGCATCACACCCACCCACCCCTACATCCCGCCCCCAGTCATGAGTTGTACCCATCCAACCTGACACACTGGGTCATAGTCATATCTGAATCATCCTTCAGTTCCCAGCCCATGCTTAATGGCTTCTCTCGGCTCCAATCTTTGGGGAACAAAGCCCTTATGTCTCAGAGCTACCAATCCTGCCCATGCAGCTTTGACCGTAGGCCACCTGTCCTTTCCTCCAGCATAGTGCTGGGTGCCTGCCCTGGCCCGGTTCGCTCCAGCTCTGCTTTCACCTTTCACTTACCTCCTTTTAATATTGTCCCGGCTATTCCACATTGATCTCAGTTCCTCTTTTAACTTTCTTCCTTTCTGTGACTTTGAAATGCCACTTCAGAGGCACTTTGCAGTATCCCCCAGAGTCATTAACACATCATAAATTCTGAGAAGGTCAGGAATCATTATTATAGCTTATAGCAAATGAGTTCTGCGTAGTAATTGCTTATACATAATTGATGAATTCATCTAAAATTTGCATTTCTTCTATTGATGAAAAAATAAGAGAAGATGAAGTTAGACTTCATATTATTCTATGGAATACAATAATACTAGTCTTATGGAATGGTTGAAAAGTGGTTCAAAAGATAGAAAGTCATTTATTTTATTATCGATTAGTTTTACCGCTCACAAATTATAGCTGCAACCACTTTTTAAAATAGCCTTGCTTTGTGCAGTGGCACACTACTGTAATCCCAGCTACTTATTAGGCTGAGGCAGGAGGATCACAAGCTCAAGCCAGCCTGAGGCAACTTAGTGAGATAATGTTTCAAAATTTAAAAAGAAAACATTAAAAGACTGGCAATGTAGCTCAGTGGTAGAAAGCTTGTCCAACATACTTGAGGCCCGCATTTAATCCCTAGTACAGAAATAAAAACTTGAAGCCAGTGCTGGCTATAGCTCCAGATCTGATCAAGGGGTCAGTAAAATCTTGCTAAAGCTGTCTCAGCATATTTTTAAGTAAGCAGTAGTGAAGATGGACTAAAACTATAAATCATCTCTGTTAGTGTAAATGATTTGCTATTTGTTTAAATTTACAAGAATATAATAATACTCATTATTTGCTACAAGAGAAACATAAAAGTGTGAGGAATCTATCATTAAAAAGTTTGTTTAATTCAGCAATTTTTTTTAAAATGCCATCTACCGATGTGAAAAGAAAATGTATTTATACACAATGGAGTACTACTGTACCATAAAGATAAACTTGAGACATCCATAGGTAAACGGATGCAACTCAAGTCCATAATGAAATACATCAGACACACAAATGTAACTATCACATGGTTTCTCTTATATAAGACAACGTATATTCATATATATATATATATATATATATATATATATATATATATATGATGGAGGGGAATTAAGGAAAATAAAGGGGAAAATGATGAAAATAATGCTTTTATAAATGGGAAAGGAACCAAGAGTTGGAGGGAGAAGGGAGGGAAAGAAGGCCTAATGGATAAAAAATAAAGAAGAACTAAGATCTGTTAGGAACATGATCAGATCCCCACGATAAACATAATCATCATGTATGGCAAACACGTACTAATAAAAACTAAAAATTAGGATATCTCCCAATAAAAATGATAGTTTCCAATGGAAGTTTTCCAAATAGAAATATTGTAAAATCTAATAAGTGTGGAAATTTGTTATGATAAGCTGTTTACTTCCACATGATTAAAGAAATTCATAAGATTTTTTAAAATATAAAACATTAAATGAGAGTGATTTAATTTTCCAAAACAAATAGGAAATTGACCCAAATGTTTCTTTGTTATGTCAATCTCATATTAAAACCCTACTGCAAAGTAAAAAGGAAAGCATTCTGTATTAGAGGAGGAATAGTTAAATTTTGTCAGAATACTAAATATGTAGGTAGGACTGAGGAGGAAACCCTGTTACTAAAAGTTAGAAATAAGATCCCAGTAATTAAAGTGAGAGGCCCAGAGGTCTACATTCAGATCAAGCCTTTTGTATCATTATGTCAGATACTCTTTTTTTTAAGAGACTAAAACCAAACAATATAAAACAATAAAGCTAATCAAAACAAAACTGTGAACGTGATACAGGACTTCAAACATAGGAAATCAACAATGGCTACCATGTTGCCTCTTGTTATCTTCAAAATAGCTGCCCATAACATCAAACATAATAAATTCAAACATAACAGAACAGACCAATCAAATCAAAACAATGAAAGCAATACAGTAGTATATCTTGTTATCTTTGAAATAACTGCCCATGCCATCAGATATAATAAAATCAAGCAAACAAAACAATGAAAATGATACAGGACTTTAAAACAAGACAATAGGAAATTAACAATGGCTACCACCTTCATAAGGAAGTCTTCCATAGTTGCTATATTGCATATTGTTATCCTCTAAATAGATTCTCAGACTACCAGCTTTAAGCCTACAAAGTCAATCAAATAATGCAGACATTAAGATGTTTTGGTTTTTTGTAGCTGCTGTTGTTTTTTTTACTTCAGTTCCTATCATCTCAGCCTGTGTTCCTCCAAATCCACAGTTGCTTATGGGAAGGGTGCTCTTGGCACTTCTTATCTCCTAGCTCACAAGCTGGTGGCTCATGGGAAGGGGTTGACCTGGCCCATGACCATCACTGGCTCACAGAAAGGGATTGGCTTCTTCTTGGTTCTCTACATGACCATTGCAGACTCACAGGATGGGGTTAGCCAACCCCATGACTGCCACTGGCTCAGAGGAAGGGGTTGGCTTCTTCTTGGTTCTCTTCCTGGGATGCCTGGCTGCCGCTGGCTCACAGGAAGGGGTTTGCTTCTTGTTCTCTTCCTGGACACATGTCCACTACTGACTCATAGGAAGGGGTTGGCTTCTTGGTTCCCTTCCTGGGATGTATGGCCACCACTGGCTAACAGGAAGGAGTGGGCTTCTTGAAGCAAGACACAATGCTGCCTCTGCCATGATGCAGGCCCTGCTATCAAGTCACGTATACACAAGACAGCAAAGACTTGTGGGTTGAAGAGCAGGATTTCCTCACCTAAGCACTGTCAGATTTTCATATTTATTTTGACAAAATCTGTTGCAGTCATTTATTTGCTATTCCAAACCATTATAAATTAAACTATTTCATTTGACTTTCAAAATATCTGCCTGCTTGGGCCACCATAACAAAATACACAGAGTGGGTGGCTTAAACAGCAGGAATTTATTTTCTCCCAGCTCCAGAGGCTGGAAGTCCAAGATCAAGGTGCTGAGGGGTTGGTTTCCACAGGACACTCGCCATGGATCTGTTCACAGTGGCCTTCCATCGCTTTTCCTGGGCGTGCACCTTCCTGACGTCTCTGTCTTCTTGAAAGCACTGAGCTCTTGTTGGATTAGAGTCCCAGCCTGATGACCTCACTTGATTTCAGTTCCTCTTTGTTCCTAGTGCGGTCACACTGAGTGTGAGAGCTTCAACATAGGCATTTTGAGGGGACACAACTCATCCATCATAGCCATCATGTAAAAAAGAACCTCCATTTAAAGGTTCTGACTGGACACGTACATTAGTAGGTAGGAAAAACATAAAGAATGATAAGATAGAACTTAAGTGATGAGACAAGGGATTTGAGTTTAGCACCAAACACATGCAGCCAGCTACAGAGAGCCCTAGGCTGGTGTGAGGAGGGGCACAGCATGTGTGTGAGGCTTGCTTGCCTGTTAGTCCTGGGTAGGTTTTCCTCTGGTCTTCAGTTAGCTTAAGGGGTATTTCTTATAAATGTGCATAATTTTTTAATGTATTTTACCAAGTATGTCTGTTTCCTACATTAAAAGTTGTAGAAAATATGAGCAAATTAAACATATAGTTCTAAAATTACTAATGATAGTATAACTTTGAAAATATTATGACAGTATTTAATTCTTAGTTTTGCTGTATTATAGCCTAAGGATATGAATTAGATTGCAGAATAAATATTAATGTTATCTTTGACTTAGAGATGTGGTTGAACCGACAAAAAAGTGGTGTCTATTTTTGTACATCCAAACTCATTTACTTCAAATACAGTTTCAGGGTTGAGAGTGGCACCTTAACTCAGTCCTCATGTGAGTGAGAATAAAATCTCACTCATTTCTTCCTTACCAAGTCAGGATGCCATGCTGATGTATAGTTTAAAATTTTAATAAGTGGTTTAATTTTGTGAAAACCTGCTACAGGAATGTTTCAAATATTTTTTAAATGTTTGAAAATATTAAATCAATTAAATTCTATATTTATGACGTTTCTTGGAAAGTAACGAACCCATATTTTAGTTAAACTGCTTGACATTACATACTTTTGCTGACATATGATTTCTACCAAAATTATCTAATTCAGAAAGATTTAAATACTAATGTGTTAAAAATAAAAATAACTCATTTGGGAAAATAAGCGTTCCCATTCTAGAGGAGATATATTTCTTTTTCAGGTATTTTTGTATACATTATATTAATTTATAATACTAAAATTTTATTATTTACTGAAATTATATTACTATCTATTGTGAATAGTAGAAAATTTCATTGTATCATTCTCCCTGTGTGAATGCAAATTAATTTTTGATAAAGTACAAAAGCTTTTCCTTAGTGGAAACTTAGCCCTTCCCAGTCTGCCTCCAGGAATAACCTCCTTTCAAACATGATTCATTTGGGATTAGGCACCTCAGAAGCAGCACCAGTCCGAGATTTCTCTTGTCGGCATTCTTCAGACTTGCTGAATCTACAATATGACACACTAGCAGTCTTATAAAATGTCCCTTTCATCCTTTAAAATTAAGGGCTTTTCTCATTCAATTCCAGGGGACTTACCAACAAAGAAAATATTCCTTCTGGCTTCAACAACCTTGATGAATGTATTTTAAATACTCAGGAAGTAGAAAAAATACATGAAGGTACTTCTGATTATTTTGGAGAAAGGAGCAAACCTAAACGTCAGAAATCTAGTTCTAAACTTTCTGAGCTCAGTGAAAATCAAGATGGTCTGGTGGTAAGTGAATATTTTTATCTGAGTTTTTTCTTACAACCAATTAAGAAACTTCATTCTCCTTCCTTACTTTGTAAAAGAAATAAAGTAATTTCAGTGTTGAGTTTCACATAATTTTAGAATATCAGTTCTGAGACACCTTAGAGCTACTTAAGTATGTACATTTGTTTCTGTTCTCTCTCTCTGTCTCTCTTGTCTCTCTGTCTCTCTCTGTCTCTCTGCCTCTCTCTCTGTCTCTCTTATCTCTCTGTCTCTCTCTGTCTCTCTGCCTCTCTCTCTGTCTCTCTGTCTCTTTGTCTCTGTCTCTCTCTCTGTCTATCTCTCTGTCTCTCTGCCTCTTTCTCTGTCTCTCTGTCTCTTTGTCTCTGTCTCTCTCTCTGTCTCTCTCTCTCTCCCTCTCTCTCTGTCTCTGTCTCTCTCTCTCTCTCTGTCTCTCTCTCTCTCTCTCTCTCTCTCTCTCTCTCTCTCTCTCGTTTAATTGTTGTGGTTCTTGTTTGGTGGTACTGTGGAATGAACCCAGGGAGCACGCATACAGTTCATCGCTAGGCTTTTTATTTTGAGACAGGACTTCCTAAATTTTCCAAACTAACCTTAAACTTGTGTTACCTTGCCTCAGCCTCCTGAATAGCCTGGATTATAGGTATGGGCCAGCATATCCCACTGTATTTTCTTTTAGTAAATATAAAAATTAAGACTGAGCACTGTACTTTTTTCTTTTTATCTTTTTAACTAAGGAAAAAATAAATAAAAAATAGCAGGATACATTAGAGTAACCTACTTTGATTTCCTATTAACTTGATTTGAAATCCTGTATTGCCCTCACCATCTTGTTTTGACTGATTTTCCCCTATTCTGCTTTGCTTGATAGTACCAAGTTTGAAAATATAGGCAAAACTGTGAAGACAATAAGATGCATTATGACACCCATTCCAGTTGACTATTATCTTCTTTTAAAAGTCCTGTGATGTCTGCAATGCTTTGGTTTTATTCTTTACTGTTTTGTTCAATTTTATTATAACTGGCAATTCTTCTTAAAATAGCAAGAGGCAGTATGGTAACCATTGTTGATCACATTGTATTTTGTTTTTACATTATCTCTTATGTCCATCCTTTTTGTAATTGTCATTGTACAAAAGAAAAGAAAAGAAAGTGCTCTAAAGGTTATAACTGCATATATGTTTAAGTGTATAAGATAGATAATCATATTACTGAGTTTTTTGGATCATTGAACAAAACTGTTTGCACTCTCACTGTTGGAAAGTCCACTTTATACTTTATAGTTGTTCAACTTGAACAACTATTTCTAAGATGAGAATATGTAATCTATTAACTAGTGATTTCTTACTGTTTATTTTTTAAATTTTGTATTACTTATACCCTTTTTCTGTTTTTTCTTTTTCTCCTTAAATTTAAAAAAAAAAAAACTGAGCACTGGAGATGTAGCACAGCACTAAAGCACTCTCATAAAGTTCTAGGGTTTGATCTCAGGCATTGAAAAGAATAATCATAATAATAATGCTAAAAAAAGTGACATTCTGCCAAAGGAACAAGGGACAGCTCACATTTTGATTTCCGTGTTATTTAGATTGGTCTGATTTCTATTTCTCATTCTTTTAAAGCACTTTTATATTTTATTTTTTGAACAAAGTTGTTTGGCATTTTTCCCTATTTTCCATTATTTCATTTAGGGAGTTGAATGTGTAAAAAAACAAATGAATGGATTTATAGCAGGGAGAGAGAAAAACACATAGGGAGAGAGAATCAGGTATGTCTTCATCTTCAGAAATCTCTTTGTGTTCAGAAGATCAATTTTAAGTGTATACTCTCAGAGATATTTTTTTCCAAATTACTCAGAAACAAAAAGACATTAGTCACTTATTGTTACCTCAAACTTGAAGCTTAGTTTAATTCAATAATTCTATGTTTCATTATAAACTATGCTTATAAACATTATGATCTATGTTCGTTATAAACTACTTAATATCATTGCTTTACATTTATGCCTCAGATTCTCTGAAAAGTGAGAATCAATATGTTTTACAGTTCTTAGTTTTTTTAATTAACAACTAAGGGTAAACTTTATAATTTACAATGAACTGACTACCGTAATAATATATTTTTTAAAAGTAGTATCAGTTTTTACTGTTTGGTGACCAGGTTTTCTGGTCTCCGCTTAGCTCTGACCAATCTTCAGCTCCACAGTGCAATTCTATATGTTCAATACAACTTACAGGCCACCCTTTGCCCAATGTCAATTTCTGTGAATATCAGAAATAACCCAGTTTTCCCCTATGTACAGTATACACAAATGCAAATCTAGGAGAAAACATAATTGAATGACTTTTCCTACCTCCCAAATGTATCATTATTTGTTTTTAGACATAAAATGTTCAAGTAGAGCTGGTTGGAAATAATTATCCTACTTAAATTTGTATCTGGTATAATTCCTCAAACAAAGAATCTAACCTTTGGAAGGAATCATTACACATTAACGACTTTGTAATAGTCAGTGATGAATTGATGGTTTAACTTTTTTGGGGAAAGTTGAATGTGTTTTATTTTGTTCTGTTTTGTTTTGTTTTACTGCTGGGGATTGAACCCCAGGCCCAGGGCAGAGCATAGCTGTGGGTATTACCACTGAGTACATACCCAACCCCTGAATTTTTAAATAAAACTCTTAAATAAAATAAGTGATACTGACTTCATTAACTCTTTATTTGGCTCATGAGTTGCTTATTTGCCAAAAAGATATATGGTGATTAAAAGTCTCAGGTTTACAACTTGAAAAGATGTACATTTTGAATCTCATTTCCATGAACTTAACCTATCAATAATTTTTTCCCTACCAGAAACAGTGTCTTCAGTTAGCTAGGTAATTAAAGAAGTAGAAAGCACATTTATTCCTTAGAGTGTGTGTTTGACTGGCACAACCATGGGCAGAGTTGAGGAGCACTGGGCTGGGAGCCTCTCTTCCGTCCTGGCCTTGTGAGTGCAAAGGCTTGCCCGCTGGGCTGCTGGTTCCTCATTCCCACAGGAGAGCACCTTAGAGTCTGGCTTTGTTGCAGTGAATAACAATAGAGAAAGAACTTCCTCATCCATGTGATCTCCAGATCTTTTCTAACTCTCATACTCTATGAATTCTAACATCTAATCTTCAAGGTAACCACAAAATAAGAGCCAGGATTCATAACAATGACTGGCATTTAGATGCTAAAACTGTGTATCTTAACCATCTAATTTTACTTTCCCCAACCCTTCTTCAAACCTTTTCCAACGGTGGTATTTCAAGGCCTCTTCACTTGGGCCGAGCACTTATTTTTACTGCTAACAAGAAGAAAGAAACAAAGAATGAGAAGGAAAAGGATATATTCATAGTTCTATACCTTCTTTGTTCCAAAAAGTACTTGCTTTCTCAGGGATACAGCAATGAGAACAATAGGCATAAATGCCTGTCTTCATAGAGCTTACATTCTAGCAGGAAAACAGACAATGATTAAGATATGTGAGTAAAACATAAAGTATATGAGATAATGTTGATTTCTTAGAAGAAAAATAAAGCAGAGAAAGGTGTCAGGAATTTTGAAGGCAGAAAATACAATATAAATAGGCTGATCAGAGATGATCTCCCCCGGATTTTGGCATTTTGAGTGTGAAGACCAAGAAGAAGCAAGAAAGAAAGCTTCATGGATAGAACCTCTGAATGGCAGGCCCTAGGTGCAGATGACCCATCTGGAAGGAGGGATGAGCCCTGGAGGTATTGCTGGGAGGGAGAGGGCATAGCCAGTGGAATGAGAGCAGGTAAAGCAGGCACAGCTCATGGGAAGGACTCTGCCTTTACTGTGGGGGAGAGGAGAAGCCAACATAGAGTTTCAGATAGCATGGCAACCTGACCCTTAAATTCCATGACTGCTGTGCGGAACGTGGGCAGATGGTTGGTGGGCAGGGAGTCCCGTTTGGGTGCTCTCATCATGTCTAGTTTTGAAATGATGGTTTAAACTAAGCTGGTACCAGAGCAGCATGTATGGCCTTGCAGAAGATTAGCATTGCCAGTTTACTGAGATGAGGAGGGCCAAGGCTTTGGGAAATGGTATCCTGGGTTCAGACTTAGAAGTGTAAAGAAGGAGCTTCCCTGTGACTCACCAGCCCACACCACAGCCTGTGAGTACATGATGCTCTCTGCACAGGCCACCTGCAGGTATGGGGTCTCCACAGTGGACACTTCGTCGTCTTGCTCCTCAAGGCTATGATGACCAGCAGAGGCCAGGAGACCACCCGTCACTCTGGGCTTTGTAGCCAGTGGTGCTGCGCAGTGTGACATGGCTCTGTCCTATGGCTAATGACCACCACCATCCCGGCCATTCCCTTCCAGCTGCCAGCTCTCTATGCCCTGTCCTCACAGAGGAGATCTTTTCCCCTGCCTTACTTTTCCCCTGCCTTGTGATCCTCACTCATGATATCAGTAGTTTATTTAAATGTGAATTAGTTTGTATACTTTTAAGTAATAAGACATGAAATGTACAAAGGGGTAGAAAAAAATTCAAACCTGCCATTGATCCTTTTTAATGTTATTATTAAATGTTAATGTCAATATTAAGCTTTCCCCTTTTCAGAGCTCAAGGTTAGAATAATGAATCTGTTTTGACTAGCAGCATTGCTCTGGCCTTCAGTTTGACCTGTTTGTCTAATGAGAGACAGCATTTTTTTTTTCTGTGTCCTCCATAAAAGCTTTGTCAGCATTTTACAGTTTTAGAAGACAAATTTGTTTTTGCTCCAGCTATTTTCAAGTACTCTAGTCAGTGGTCAAACAGGTTTTGAGTTTAGCTTTCAATGTCAACACAGAGAGAGGGAAAAGAAATTACAAATAAATCTACAGCCTAAAGCTAGCTTTATCAAAGCATTTGCTGCTTTAAATTTAAAGATTATCTTTAAAATTGAGGAGGGTGGTTTTTAAAATTCAGTTTCTTTGTACACCTTAAAATTATCAAATGTAACTATCATAATGTAACTCTGTTTTGAAGGTCACTAGCACTTATATGAGTCAGAATTTTATGGACTGTGTATTAAGCTTTATCTGGTTAAAATTGTAATATAAGAAGTAACTTTACCTCATTGTACTTAGAGTCATAATCTGTTCTTTGCATTTTTTTTCCTGAGACTTGAGCTCTGAGCCTCACACATGCTAAGCAAGCTCTTTTCCACTGAGCTATTTCCCCAATCCTTTTTAATCTTACTAGTTTGGCTAATTGCCAGGTCTCTCAAGCTTGCCATCCTCCTGCCTCAGCCTCTCAGATAGTTGAGGTTACAGGTATGAGTCTCCATGCCTGCTGCTTCTTTGCTATTTTTTTAAAATTACCTATTACCTTTAAAAGATCTTAAGTAAAAGTTAACACAGTAAGTCATTTTTACAAGAGGTCTATTATGTTCTCTTTAAAAAATGAAAACACTAATAGACTACTCTTCTACCGCACCCAGAAATGGGTTTGGGAAATAATACCATTCCAAAACTTCAAAATGCATTGTGTGCATATTTTCTCATAGGATGAAAGGCCAGCAGCATACTTCTCATCTGGGGAAGCCTGTGTTCCTATGCCATTTCAGCCTGTATGATATCTATTTCCCTTTCCCCATCTCAGTGAAGTCAGAAGTTAATCATTTTGCTCTATCTGCCCCCTAAATCCTAGACAAAGGATAGAAATTAGAACTTATAAAACACTTTGTGCTCTGTGAAAATAAGTAGTGTTATTAACTTAGCAGATCTTCATTACCTTGGTCATTCATTCTGAAAACTCAGGAGGTCTCAGCTGGGTTTAGCACCCTGCTCGGGTGATCCATGCACAGCCCAGCAGCCCTGGCAAAGGAACACCATGTGTGTGCCTCGTGCAGGGTTCAGGACTCCAGACCAGAGTCATGTAGCAGTCTTACATGTCCAGATACACAATATAATAGTAGGAATGGCTGAAAAACTCTCAAGAGAAATCTTACATAATACTGAAAGTCAGCCATTGTGAATTACATCTATGAAGGATGGGAATCTTGGAGAGTTCTTAAATATCTGGCTCAAACATTAAAAGAGGAGGGGAGGCAGTTGACAAAGCCAGTACTTTGTAGTTCTAACCTTTGAATTCCACAAAAAATTCTCATGTCTTAAAAGTGCTTTTTGTAAATCTTTCTACTATGTAACGTAACTATTCCACAACTCTTAAAATCTGTATTATTATATTTTGTTTACTTTTGTTTAGGAGAAAAGTTGATCTTTTATCAGTTTGTAACTGAAATATCTCTAAATGTATAGAATGCTATTTTGGTTTATGTTCTGTACTCTCCTTTCTGAATTTTCCTTAGCTTTAATCTGAAACTGTTTGTTTCTTCCAAAACACTGATTCACATATAATTTTAAATACACCATCCATTTCATCAGCACTGTTTGAAAGTGGTATGAAAAGATTATGCTTTCCCTAGTAATTCATGTTTCAGAGCTTTAGGAAAACCTAATACTATTGCACTAGATCTTTCACTAAAGATTTTAATAATCTATTAAAGATTACAATGAGAACAAAGATTCTTTGTCACAGATATATTCTGCTGTATCAGGAAGTTCACAGTCAGGTAATAAAAGCCATTATGCTCAGCTTGAATGGAACCCAGTTATAAGGGACTTTTCTAACTAAAAATGTAAAGGTGTAAATATCATTGAATACTGTCATAATTTTTCCTCAGATGCCCTCTAAAATTATCTAGCCATTTAAGTTTTCTTTTTCTTTTTCTGCTTTTGTTTTTGTTTCTGTCTTGCTGTATGATTCAGACTGACCTTTGAAATTAATATCTAGCTGTAAGTTTTCTGAGTGAGTAAATTGATGCTTAGTGTCTTTGAGCAGACGCAAATACTGTCTTTTAAATTCCTGCGAGTCTTACCTGTGGACAAATAGTGAGATATTTTCTTCAGAGATTTTATACCTTTAGAAGTAGTAGTAACGGGGGCTGGGGGTTTAGCTCAGCGGCATAAGCACCTGCCTTGCAAGCAGGCGGTCCTGAGTTCGATCCCCGGTACTGATAAAAATGAAAAAGACAAAAAAAAAAGTAGTAGTAACTACTAATACACATTAAGTGTACCAGGAATGACTCCAGTGCTTTATATTATTATTTTATTTAGTTATGTGGCAAATGTCATCTCCATTTAAGGAAACTGAGGCACAAATGGAGTCATAGTATTGGCAGTTGATGGATCCAAAATTGGAAGCAAACCATTCTGACCCCAAAGCTGCTGTCGTGACTGTTGCATCATGCTGTCCCCCTTTCTGCTATTCTTTGCTGGATCCCAAGGTGTCAAAATGACAAACAACTCCAGACAAATTGGCCAGACCTTCGTAGATGGAAAATACTTCATTCCCCTTTCAAGCTGAAGACTAGCTTCTCACTGTGATACACAACAGTTTCATAAGATTCTTGTGACTTTTTAGAGTGTTTTCACAGTGGTAGGTTATTATATGTAGGTGGATATATGTTCTTTATTTTCATGATAAGTGATTGTACCTAATATCCTTTGAATGCAGATATTGAATCTCTGAATTTAGTGAAATTCAGGTCCAATTTTGAAGACAACTGTTTTTGAGTCTACTATATTTACAAATAAGCAAAACAAGAGCACATTTAATGTTTCTTCATAAGACTGAGTTAAATACTCTGTGCTTAATCGTCTGCATTATTTTTAGAAAACATTGTGTTCACAGAGGCAATCAAAAAACCCTTGCAAACACGAAGACCACTTTGTTGCTCTAAAACATACTATTCAAGTAAGTTTTCTATTTATATTTTGTGCACTCCCACTAATACAAAGATTCACACTAAATATTGCAGAGGTTTTTTGCTTCAATTTTTATGAATGTTTTTATACCATAAATATGATATACTGACAATATTCAATGAAGATAATAAATAAGCAATAAATATTATATCAATTTCTGATTAGTTTTAAGATTTAGATTCCTCCATTCCATTTGTAAGCCACCCCGATTCTCTGATGATCTGAGTTTTGCTATGTTTAGCTGTCAAATGTGCATAATACCTAGTGAAGATATCACAGGAACAGTGACCATTTCCACGATGCTATCAGCTATCTTTGCTAAAGGGTTGATAAAACTCAATGTACAACTTTATGTAAGCAGAAGATAATAAACTGTCACAGTTTTACTTGTTTTAACAAAGATAGAAAAGTGGGCACTATAGTTAGTTTATATCTACATGTTACCTGGTTTTTGTTTTTTACTTTATGAAAAGAAATCTACTTTTGCATGTTTCTTACCAGGCTATTGAGCAACCAATAATTGTTCTGTTACAGAATATGGAGAATTTCAGTTCCACACGATCAAATGACAGGACTGGAGTTGAGGATATTGAACTGATGTCTGAGGAAAGGTAATTTTAAAATTTTCTCTTCACATTGTTTTCAAAGGTATAACAAGATTCTTGTTTTCGTTTAATGCAACATGAGATATAAGAACCAAAAAGAATGAAATTTAAGGACTTCATGTTGACCAGGAAAATGCTTAGACTTCTACAAGGCAAATAATCATGTTTGTATTTCTAGTGTTTTGTTTTGGAATGTTGTAGGAGTTTATGTAGAGCCATTCACCCCACTTTTAAAATATATAATGTGATATAATGAATGAAAAATGAGGTCATAAAATGGACATTTTGTGATATTTTGCTATTGTTGCTGTTGTTTATAACAGAGAAAGTAAAAGAGACGGTGGAGACACCCCGCATTTTGAGGTGAGTAACTCACAAAATGTGTGGCTGTGACGGACTGTCCCTGTGTGTGTGTGTGAAATGTCACTATCCTGGCTGCGTCTGGATAGAAGGGCAAATGCCAAGATCTAAGATGCTTTCAGAAGCTTGCTTTTTAAATTATTGTGTTTGTTTATGAAGATAAACTGTAATGGTACGGGGATTTCTCTTCAGTTTTTTCATAGAATAAAACAAAAAGCCATAGGCGCTGGTTTGACTTTTCCATGGTTTAGTGCATATTTTTAACTGATCAAAATATGTTAAGTAATGAGTTTACTGAATCTGTCATAGAGTGTCTCAGTTACTTTCCTTATCTCAGGGACAAAATACCTGACTCCCACAGCTTGAAAGGGATAGGTTCATTTTGGCACATGGTTTTACAGATTCAATGTATGACTGGCCAACTCCAAGGCAGGAAGACGTGGTAGGGGTTCTGGGGAGGACAGCTGCTCACCTCACAGTGTCCGGGAAGCAGATAGACAGGGAAGGAGCAGTGAAGGAGAGACGCCCTCGCGGGCCTGCCATCAGGGACCACCTCATCCAGTCTCACCCTGACAGCACATTTAGCTATGGACTCGTCAGCTCTGAATCCACTGATGGGCAGAGCTGCTCATGGCCTAACCACTCTTTCGGGGAACAGTTTTTATCTAAACCATAACACAGGGATTTTCTCATTAATTTTCATACTAACAAATTCAGCTTGAGTTATTTAATGCAATTCATCATCTGTTTTGTGTCCCAGTTCAAGTACATAATACAGAAAAAAATAAACTACTTCCTATATCTTCTTTCTTTAAATTTTTTTTTTTTAATCGGTATCGGGGATTGAACTCAGGACTATGTGCTTGCAAGGCAGGCCCTTATGCCTGCTGATAAATCCCCAGCCCCTACTTCCTATATCTTCTATGCCTTCAAATTTCACTTACTTTCCTGCTCCTGCCTGGTCCTCTGGGGCACCACCACACAGAGCCAAGTGTTTGGTTTCCCCCACTTTCATTCAGCATGCTGGGCCTCATTTTTAGCTCATGTATGCAAATTTAATCTAACTTCAAATTCTGTTAACCCTAGCTTGAATCTCTTAGCAGGTTCTTTTTTTTTTTTTTTTCAAAAATTAAAAGCTTTTTTCAGCTTACTCTTAACATTCTGACTTTCTTAATATATTAATTATATAGAGAACTATTGCTGTAAAATGACTCTTAGATTTGTGGGATATTGGCATGGTTTACTGACAGATAAGTCAACAACATGTACTATTTTCCACCATGTACAAATTCTGTGTTAAGACCAGGAATTTGATGACAGTCACAGTCTCTGCTGCCATGGAATTTTATAGCCTATCAGACCAGTCATCTGAATGCAGGGGCTGGGATCTGCTCTGTGGTAGAGCCCTTGTCTAGCATGCACAAGACACTGGATCCAGTCCCCAGCTCTGCAGACACACAAACAAGATCTGAAGGCTGTGGGCTTCCTTGTTAGAAAACTGCAAACCCACATTAACTTTAGTATAAAATTACTGGAAATCAGTGGCCACACATACCAACATGTGAATACTGTAGATGCCCTACATTATTTCCTCTATTAAATTCTCATTGTGTATACTTCTTTATTCTACGTAATGGGAAGGAAATGCTCCCACTTTCTGATATCCCAGCTTTGGAGCCAATTCTTTCATCTCTTATTTCCAACTCATTTATGCTTCCTTCCTAGGGACCCTGACCCCAAGCTGACATGCTTTCCTTTTCTCTAGGTGTCTTTCTAAACGAGCCTGTTTCCTCATGATAGTTTTTTGGAGCTTTTTTACTCTCTTTTTTCCTTATCTTTCCTCTTCCATCTTCCTCTGCACACAGCAGGCCCCTATTCAAGATGCCATTGAACATTATTTTAAAGAGAATTGCTTTGCCAGCTTCCTAGGGGTCTTTTCAGTTCTTTCTTTTTATGCCTGTTATCTTTTATGAGATAAAGGGAATAGAGTGACCTTTGTGGATGAACTCCATAACATTAACTCATAAATTCCAGGTGGCACCCAAACTAAATTTGTGCTGAACCCAGCCTACCTAGTTCTTTGGTACACAGCTCCTGTGGCAGTGTGTGAATCATGGGGAAAGAATCTCAAATCCCCGTCCATGTGCCAGGTACTATTCTTGCACGTATCACCCATGTGCAGCCACCAATCAGTGCCGCGCTCACAGCCAGCACTCCTGAAGCATTCACTATTAATAATCATTGTAATCCTGACCATTTCAGTTAAGAGGTAAAATTAGGTGGTGAGCTAGAATTCAGAGTCAGCTTTCCATATTAATTTCCCATCACAACTATATCAAAATGAAAAAAAGACACCACTCCACCCAACTGGATTATTTCTGTCATGAGGGCATGCATTACTGTCACTGAAATATATTTTTTTATTCAAGAAAGACAGAAAAGTCTATTTTTCACTTTTAAACCTCTTTGCCTTAGTTGAATATGTTAGAATTTCTTACTTTTTAAATATATAGCCCTTCCAAAACTAGAGACAATAAGACAGACAATGAAGAGCTCCAGTGGACTTGCTTTGAAATCAGTGTTTCTTAAAATTGTTTCCTTATGATCTGTTTTGTTCTGTTTTGGTATGTTTAATCTTACCCTCTTTAATATACGGGCAATTCTTTTGAAGATAGCAAGAGGCACTACAGTAACCATTGTTGATCACCTTGTATTTTGTTTTTACATCATATACTATGTCTATTCTTATTTTAACTGACTCCATTTTGCTTTATCACATTTGGTTTTATTCTCTTCTAACAAAGTAATAAGAACTGTAGGAGTAATAAAACCTAAAATGTGTAATTGTTATTATAAAAAAGAGAGGTAAAGAAAGTGTCTAAAGGATATAACCGCATGTATGTTTAAGTGTGTAAAACAGATAACCATATTACTGTTTTTGTTGGATCATTGAACAGAACTGTTTGAGTCTCACTGTTTAAATGTCCACTTTGTATGCGTTAATTTTGTAACTTAAACAGCGACTTCTAAGATGACAAATGTATCAACTAGTGATTTCTTACTGTTTTTTGAACTTCTGTATTATTTCTACCCTTTTTTCTGTTTTGCTGTTTTTTCCCTTTAAACAAAATCCTTTATAAAATAAATATATGTATTATAGCCCTTTTATAATCCTTTATAAAATAAATATATATATATTATAGCCCTTTCTAAAACTTATACCATCCAAATAATAATAATCTGGCTTTCTGTAGAACAGCAATAATCCCTGAATTTCAGAGATGAAAAATAAGTCTAGATTTCTGTTACTCTTTCCAAAATTCTGTTTAATTAGTATTTATTTTGTTTCAAGTCTCCTACAGCATGATTGAGATGCCACAATTTACATGTTCACTATGAATGAACATTCTCCATTTTATTTTTTCAGTAAGATTTGTTATCATTAGCACTGTCCTTTAAAATTCTTCTTGTAGGGGCTGGGATTTAGCTCAGCTGCTTAAGTACCTGCCTGGCAAGTGCAACGTCATGAGTTCAATCCCTGGTACCACAAAAAAATAAAAATAAAATTCTTCTTGTAAATGCTCAAATTCATATAAGATGACTGAGCAAATTACAGCCACAAAAGGATATGTGGGTTTTTCTTTCCTTTTTGTGGCCACTGTTGCCATTAGAGGAGGAACTGGCCTTCAGCCTCAGAGCTGATATTTATTCTTCAAATAATCAGAGTGCAACTTTCACTCTATTTTGTTTGAAGGCATGCATTGAAAGTGAATGTCAACTTATCCCTTTTTTATGCCTTTTCAATTTCTTTTAATTATACAACTAATCTTATATAAAAAGAAGGTTATCAAGCTCTCAGATGGGCATTGGCCAATGAGAGCTACCCATTTCTATTTTTTATGTGGTTAGGATTTAAATTTGTTTAATGCCACATTACAATGAAAAAAAAAAAAAGTAAGAGTTACTTCAAAAGTGCCACAAGTGAAAAATACAGTTTCTTTGGGAGGTTTTGGTATGGCTAGAATGTCAAAAAACATCCCATCTGGCTGCATGAGATGAGATAACAAGACTCAGCCGAGCACATGCTCCCAAAGCACACGGAGACCTGAGTTGTTTATCCTTTTGTCTGAACTCTTTTTTTACAACTGCAAGAATCTAGAAGAGAAGTCAGCCTTGTAGCTAGCAACCTAGATTCTAAATCATGGCAAATATATTTTTAGGGTACTTCTTGTAATAGAGTTTATACCTTATGGTTCAGTTCCTTCTAAATTATTCTACCATGAAAATATTGTATGCTTCACGTAGTATCTAGAATATTCAAACAATAACCTTACAAGGAACCTCTTTGTCAAGGAATCAAAACCAGTAAGAATTATTAACTGTTTTCTGATACTATCTGATTGAGATCGTTTTGTCAGAATTATATGGCCAGTGAAGTGTTAAATTCTTTCAAGATATTTTTACATTCTTCATGCTTCTAAGCCCACTGCTTAAGAGCTCTTGGAAGCATACCTTTGATAACAAACAAGACATTCATCATAAATAGAAATGTATTTCCCTTCTGTAATCCTGCTTCAAAAGAAAAAGGAGAAAGGAAAGAAAAAGAAGGGACGGAGGGACCAAAAGGGAAAGGAGGAAAGAAAGAAAGAAGAGAGAAAAGAAAAAGTTGAGGCTTTTTAATCAAGACTGAGAATTAAATTAATTATCACAAAACCCAACTGCTGCAAGTTTTTATTTGCCCTGAGAAACAGATTTCTGAAGCATCTCCATCAATAATTGCCAGAGACAACTGACCCTTGCAGTTCACATGAATTTTGAAAATTTGTTATGCCATGTTCATTTATTGACAGGTCAAACAGTAAATATTTATGGTTCTGTGTGGTTAACACAGTAGTTTTTTTTCTTTGCAAGCTGCGTTATCCAACATGCTCTCCAGTGCCATGATTCCTGGCTCTTGTAAGCCTTCAGGCCACTAATCCATATTTTGTGCAGGGAGGGAAAAAGAACGGAACTAAAATTCACCAAATAGGCAGGCTTGGTGGTGCATGCCTGTAGTGCCAGCGCTCAGGAGGCTGAGGCAGAAGGATCACCACAAGTTTGAGGCCAGCTGAGGCCACATAGTGAGTTCAAGGCCAGCCTGAACTACTTAGGAGGACTCCCATCTCAAATTAACAACAACAACGAAAAATATTCACCAACTACTTGAAGCCAGGGAAGGGGCAGGATCAGTAAGGACTGGGGACAGAAAAACCCACTCCCAACTGGGCAGGGACAAGTCTCGGCAAAGATTAGACTGATAGAGTTAATGACCTCTTGACCCACACATAAATGTCAAGTGGGGCCCCAGGTGTGGTGTGCACCTGTGCTACTCCCTGTCACCTGTGCCTTGCTTCTGTAACATACGTGACAGTGGTCTCTCCTCTACACTGGAGTCCGTGACTCATTCAGTCCTGGGTTCTGGTGCGTAGAGCAGGGTAATTATTTAATAAATACTTGCCAAATGAATGAAAGGGCAGCAGCAGGAGAGTAAAGTGGGAATAGCATTTCTTCTATGGTTACTGTGGACAATTTATACATGATTTTCATTTAATGATCAAAACAACCTGATTAGAGCAAAAGGAGATAGCATTGGGAGAGGGTGACCCTCTAAGATCTTGAAGCTGCCACCAAAACCCAGCTAAGGCTGCCTACCAGATAGTCACCTCCAAGAGCCCAGCTCTCAGTGTCAGCACACGAGAAGCACCTGCTTCTCGTTTGGTGTGTTTGGTGTGTGACATCACAACATAAGAATCTCTGAGGTGAAAATCATGACATTATTTATTCTCTGATTTAACTGAGGGCAGAGTTGTAAAGGGAAAAAAAAAAGGCTTAAGTCAAAGTTTATTTAGTATTCAAGACTGCCCTTGACACACTAACCTTAATGGTCTAAGTAAGCAAATAGATGATATTGGCCTTCCTGTATACCAGCAGTCTCACAGGGCCACCTGACAAGGCACCCCCAGCAAGGGCCATCCGAAGGAGCACAGAGCCTGGACAGCTCCCCCATGAGCAGCCCCTGGGCCCAGGAGACTGCTAGCAGCCCCTGTGCTGACAGGGGCCACCAGGTTCAGAGACTGCTGGGGAGGCGAGAACCTGGGACTTGGCTTCTAGGAGCCAAGGCTTGTGAAAGAGAACTCGAGAGAGGACAGGAGCACAGCGAGATGGGGCCATGTAGTGCGTGCATTTCCGCTGAAGTGGAAAGTGCCTGTGTGCGGGCACATGGGTGTGCTCAGGAGGGAGGTCTACACCATTGGGCCAGAAAGCTGCCGGGAGGTAGGAGCTCCCACGCGTCAAGCAGGTTGCAGTTACGGCTGTCCGGGGCATGTCCTCAGCACCCGGTAAGGCAGCCTTGCTGTTCTTTGCTGGATCTCGGAAGCAGTGGCCCCTGTGCTGTTCCTAAACCGCGTACCAAATGACCTTGCCTCACTGGACAGGGTCCCCAGCACCAGCACCCCTTTCCCTGCAGTGCATTTCCCGCAGACGCTCCCTCTCTGGCTTCCTCCTCACATCCATTCAGCCACCACTTAGCAGGGAGGTACCGGGGCACTCAGAATGAAGCAGGAGGCCTCAGTCGCTACCACCCACATCCACCTTCCTTTGCCTGCTTTCCCTGAAGTCCTGGCCATTTTTGCTTTGTCTCCTCTTGGACTCAGCATGACAAACCCTTTATTTTGTCCCATGCTATTTCCCAGTGTCTAAAAGACAGTCCACCATAGATTGGGTACTCAAAAACTATTTCTTGTTCATGTTGGGTTGTTTTTGTTTTGTTGTTGTTTTTGTTGTTTTCCATACTGGGAATCAAAAGTATGACCTCATGCTTGCCAGGCAGGCGCTGTGCTGCTGAGCTGTAGTCCAGGCCCTATGTTTTTGCTTTCTTGGGACAGTGTCTCACTGTGTAGTTCAGGCTGGCCTCAAAAATCAGTGTTCCTCCTGTCTCAACCTCCTAAATTCTGGGATTAAAGACATGTGCCACCACACCTGGCTTTTAAAAATCATTTGTTGAATAAATTCATGAATATATTTTATCTTTGGGTCTGTTCTCTGACATAAAATAGGCAGCACTACTGCATAATACCTATCTGTGTGCTATGTAACTGTCAAATGCTAAGCCTAGAACAGGAGGCCTTTCGCAGGTGGCTGATAACCTTGTCCTGTGCCATCCCCTGCCCTGTCCTAAGGGCTGGCCACCCTGAGCCTCTTCTCCCTCCTGCCTGTCTCCATACACCCTCCTCCTTCTGCTCCTCCTCCTCCTCCTCACAGCCCTCCAAGTCCACACCTATCTGCCCCCACGTCAGAACTGCTGCTGCTGCTGACACCCTGATGACTGCTCACTGGCCTTTTTTCACTTTATTGAAAACTGTGTTCCATCCTCTGTTATTTGTTTTTTGTTTTGTTTTTTTTATCGGTACCGGGGATCAAACTCATGACCGCCTGCTTGCAAGACAGGTGCTTATGCCACTGAGCTAAATCCCCAGCCCCTCCATCCTCTGTTGTAACCTGCTTCACCTCACAGGAGGTCCTGCTGCCTCATCTCCTGTCCCTCCTTCTGGCAGTTCTGGGCCTGGCATTGTTCTTCCATTCATCTTCATAAGACGCCACATGGTAACAGGATGGCTTCTGTTTGGGTCTCACACTCCAGGCACCAAGCCTTGCTTACCTTCTCTCTAGTCTTCACAGCCCCTGGAAAGGTTAGACTCACATGTGCCTTTTAAAAAATTAAGCAATGAAGCTCCGCAGAAGTGAGCACCACACTGCAAACACAGCACAGGTGTCCCTGTGTCTCCCTCACTTTGAATGACTTGATATACAGACCTCCTACATGCAAAATACTGTATTTTATATATGAAATTGTACATCTTATATTCTTGCCTTTGAGGTCTCTGACTATAATAATCTTTAGAAATCTTTGTTGAAAAATGTTTAATTACTGTGTAATATTTTCTCTATCTGTCTGTCTGTCTCTGTCTCTCTCTCTCTCTCTTTCTCTCTCTCTCTCTCTCTCTCTCTCTCTCTCTCTCTCACACACACACACACACACACACACACACACACACACAACAGATTGCTCACCTATTGATCCTGTAATTTAAAAAGCTGTGCACCAGATTTGGGCATTCAACCCATGTCCATTTAGGATTCAGCTTGAGGAACACATAGATTTTGTGACATAAACAAGCAGCACTTTTAAAATGTCTTAACGCTCCAGATTGACTTGACATTTCCATCTGACTTTAGTAACTCATCCTGACCTAATTGTTTCATTTTATCCCAAAGGCAAACAAAATACAAGTCCAATGCATTATTTCATAGAAATGTAATAATAAAACCACTCATACCCCTTCTGACTTCAGAGTAGGTTGGATAGCTATTAAAAGTAGCAGGAAGCCTTAAATAGAACTTTATTTTAAGCCCAAGAACATCTCTTACATTGATGAATTTGCTTATGATTTCCAGATGTTCTTAGTTTTTTAAAATAATGATAGTATGTTTGCTAAAAAAAATTTTCATTTACTCCCAAAGAAAATATTTTGTGCAGATCTATGCTACTAGAGAAATACACTTTGTTTATAATTTTATCAGAGCAGAAAGAGTGACAGTGGCTTGATTTGCAATATGCCAAAGGGGAAGCCAAAAAGAGAATTTCAATACAATAGAATTAATATAATTGCTTTTTTTAAAAAACAGTCATATAGCTTGCGTATCAGTCTTCTGGGGAGAATTTTCCGGTCCATCAGATTTTCTAGCCTTGTATAGGTGCCAACAAGGCGCAAAACCAAGAGTAGCCAAATATTTAGTATTCAGAGTAGATGAATAGTAGAAAAAATAAGTGACAGTTGCATCTTTGTAACATAAATTATGCATTACCAACTTGCTAGGCTTGGCTTTTTACAAAAATCGAGGGGGGGGGGCATACTCCCCATGTAATTTTGGATCCCTTCCAGGGTCTGTATTTTGTACTGCTAGCTGAGATGGGACGCCAGAGCCCTGTGTTGTTTGAATTTGCGCAACAATGCTTTAATACCCAGAGCTCCTCCATAAATAGTCCTTCACCCCATACTCAGTGGGAAAACAGCCACAGGAAATCTGGGAATGTGCAGCTCGCCCGAGTAATTGATCTAAGCCCGCAGGAGGGTTTGTCCCCTGCCTCTGCTCCTGCCCTTGCAGTGCTGTTTACCTAAGGGAGAGAAGGCTGCGTGCAAGACTCCATGTTTCTGCTCCAGCCTTAGCAACAGCAGCTGCCAGCCTTTCTGTTGTTATTGTTTACAGTCTCCAGAGCCTTGCTCCTTTAAGGAAACACAAACTCCTTTCCCTCATTCTTGGCCCTAGTCAGTAATTATCCAGACTGTCAGCTGACTGCAGTTATCAGGAGGAGCTGCCCGGGAAAATCATGCTGTCTCTCTCACTGAAGAAAAGTTAAAGGAGCACAGATGGACAGTTGCTTTTTGCATGAGAGTGACCAGCTCATATTGGGGCACACTGAGCCATAATTTTGATGTCTGTGCTGGATATGTTAGCAGCTGTGGCTTGAGAGCTTTCCCCGAAGCTTTTCCCCGAAGGAGTGGGATTGCTGAAGACATTGTTGGGTTCCGATGAACAGTAGCTATTTGGGGACATTGTGCTGTTATTGCAGAGCCCCACGATGAAGATTCAGGAGCATCCCAGCATACCCGACAGCAAACAGCAGAGGAACCAAGATGCTGACACCCAGCAGGAGAGCTTTGTCTCTGAAGTGCCGCATTTGGACCTAACTGCATTGTGTGATGAGAAGACCTGGGAAGGTATGGTGACCTGTTGTTGCTTGTCACTTGGAGATTTAGCATTAGAAAAGCTTTGTAAATATGCATATGAGAGAGGTGTGTGACCACATTCATGTTGGTGGGGAGGTAAAAGCGAGAGCTTTGCAAGTAGAAGTAACAGCGTTTATGAATGATGGAGATTCTTTACCTGGCATAGGAATGCATCGTGTTAAGCCTTGCCGAGAGTAGCTGCAGTCTAAGAAAATGCTCTTGCCCTTTGTCATGGTGTCACCATGCAGTCTTTATGTTTCTTTTTAACTCACCAAGACACAGATATATATATATATCCTTCTAGTACTACCCAGCAGAGTACGTTTAGTAGGTTTTTTTTTTTTTTTTTTTTTCTGTGCACCTGATTTTCCACTACTGTCAGCCACCTACTGCCTTCAGAAAACCTTCCTCTTTTCAAGAAAGATGTTTTGGTGTGCTTTGCTTTTATGTATTTTTATGGGTCCTTTTTTTTTTAATGCAGGTTAATAAACTGAAGAATTTGTGTATCAAAGAGAACAATGAATAACAGTGCTTCTTCCAGAAAACCTGTAATACAGTGGTTTAGATTTGTTGTTCTGGGGACTTTCGGTGACAACATTAGCAATTCACTTCGAGGAAGGAGAGGGTAACCTGACCAAAACTATACTTCAGGGAGGTCAGTGTGTGAGTCTTAGGAAGCCTCTTGCTTTTTTGCATTATCCCTGTCTACCTCCAAACATGTATCAGTGTGTATCTAGAATAAACACCTGTCTGCCTCTTTATGGTGTGTGTTTGGAAGCAACAACCAGGGAGAATTTTGCTCCTGATTTCAGTACAGCACGACTTAACACAGGGACTTAGCAGATAGTCACAGCTGTGGAAGAGGAGGCCTCCCCAGCATCTGGATTTCCTTTTCTACTCCTATCCCTCCTCCCTCCTTTAACCAAGAAATACTCTGCATTAAGGGTCAGAGGGGAAGGGTCAAAAGGCAGTGAAAAGACCACCCAGGGGAAGAGAGGACCTGGCGTCAGGGTAGATTCTTAGTTCTTTTTCTCCCTCCTGTAATGGAAGAAACCTGTTCCAGGTCTTTTCTTAAAATTAGGCAGTAGATCTCAGAGAGTGTCAGCCTCTTCAAGCTCCCAGCACATTCACTCAACAAAAAGTGCATGATGGTTTTAATTTAAGTGATATATATTCCTGGCTACTGTTTATTCTTTTATTTGTGTGTACATTGACACAGTACATGTGTTTTTAATTCATATACTGAAAACAACCTACTCTTTCCCCCTAGATAAATCTCATAGTAGACACTGTTGCCCAAATTTAAAAAAAAAAAAATTTAAAGCAGTAATCTAAATAAATGCTGTGTTTGGGTTTTAGTGATTTCTGTCTGCCTTGAAGCTCTAAAACCTATGATTTGGGGTCAGAATTCAAATTAGTCTTTTTTCATCCTGAAATGGACTGTTTATTTTTATCTTAGTTAATCATAAACTCATAATCTCTCCCAACACACTTGAAGCAGCTGGCATAAAGGCTAAAAAGTTCTCTTCAAAGTATTTAAAAGCCAATTTGTACTTTCCCTAAAACTATTTCATTATTTAATACAAAGAAATTTTCTCCAGATAAAAAAAATAACACAAAGGAACGAGCATTTAATTTTGGAAATTCAGTTACAATTTTTTAAAAGGCCACTGGAAAGCCAAGCACGGTGCCTGTAATCCTGGCACAGGTGAGGCTGAGGCAGAATAGTCTTGAGTTCAAGGCCAGCCCGAACTATGTAGCAAGTTCCTGTCTCAAAACAACAAAACAATAGGCTGTTAGAAAAAAAAAAAAAATACATCTCATTCTAAATAAATTTGGAAATGTGAATTGGTTACCCATGTAATTTTTGAAATTGCTGTAACTTTTTAAATTTCAAATTACTGCATTTGCTATTGAACTTACATGTCTTAAAAGTCTAGCTGGACTTACATCAGAGTCATTTGACTATTTAGTTACTGCTCTCAGTGATTACTTTTATCATCACATATTTATTTTAATTTTCAACTTACATTATAGTGCTAACAGCCAAAAAATAGTCAAAATAAAGGAATTTCTTCATAAAGGTAAATAATATGAGGACAGTAAGGATTGTTTTTTTTCAAGCAGGCTCTGCTCTGTATGCAGGCTTTGAGCTCACCATGTAACCCAGGCTGGCTGTGAACTCACAGTGATCTTCCTGCCTTATCCTCTAAGTGCTAGGATTACAAATGTGCACCACCACAACCAGCAAATTATTGAGAGCAGTAAGTTTGATTGCTAAAGCCTCACCATTTTCTATATCTTTAATAACAAACAAACGAAATGGTGGTTTTCCAGTACTGTGTGTGAACCCAATACAATGTGTGTGTGTGTGCCTGGGTGTGAAATAGTAATTAGCAAAACATGTATGAGCCAGTTCCCGTCTGTAGTCTTCCATCGTCAGTTTTAAAGCCACTATGTCTTCTGGGTTTGCTGGTTCATTCTCTGTCCCTGTACTATGGTCCACACTCAGGGATGTGGAGTCACAGTCTCTTGGGTGTGCAGTGCCTGGTAATTGATTGACTGCTGACTGATTCTCTATGGGAAGTAATGTTCTCTGTTTCCTGGGGTTTAGCAGCAAGGAAGCAGAAGGGAAATAAAACTCACAGAGTCCATCGGCTACAGAGTGAAGCCCTTGAAAACTCAATGTAGATGTGTTTTATCATGCTCTTGGCAGATACTAACCATGCTATATCTCATACAACCTGTGTGCGCACACACACACACACACACACAACTGTGTTTTAGGGGCTGTTATTTGATCTATCTATATAACATCTCTTTCCACCATTATTATTAGGGTTTTCACTCTCCAAGATTAAAATGAATATAGAAATCAGACATCCAAGCTCTTCACAGTTGCATAGTTAGTGCATTTCCAAGCAGCTGGTGAATGTTGACTTGGAGGGTACCAGCTGTAGAAGTACTGGAGTTTAAACACTCAGCTACTTTACTCAACTTTTGTCCCGATGAAATTAATTTTTAAAAGGCATTTTTAAAAGTCATAAAATATAGGCAAAATGAGTATTCACAGTTTCAGCTTCCTTACTTCTAGCTGATACATCTTTCTAAGCAAAGCGAGTTAGGCATCCTGGCAGGCAGCAGAGGGTTAGGAACCAGGCACCTGGATTCAAATCCTGACTTTGCTGCTTAACTAGCTCTATAGGCAGGTTAGTAAACCTGTCTCCTTAGGCTTTAATTTTCTCATATTTAGATATAATAACAGCAGATAATAATGAATAGTTGATATAGTAGTACATACTTAGTAAATTTGTAAGGATTAAATGCATTAAAACATGCTCAGCACAGTATGAGTACCTAGCATATGATTGTTAATTGTTATTGTCTTCCATAAATATCTCCAAACATAGTCTCAGGAAAAATCAGCTTATGTATGTTTTAAAACAGGAGCCTGGTTCCACCTAATGACTGTGGATGGTTCTAACCACGGAAGAGGGAGGCATCCATAATGACCAGGCCCTTGTGGACTTACTAAGGATAAGCCTCATCTCACCAAGCTCCTTTCTGTCTTCAGTGGTATCACTAGCCTCTGAATTGGGAAGGGCTACATTTGAAAAGACTCCAGCTGGGCCACTGACAGAGCTTTGGTGATAGCTTTGTCAGAGATGTGCAAGTGATAGAAGACAGATAGGGGAGTGAATTAGTAACTGATGAAGCAACTGCACAAAAATGTGCAGACATGTGGATCAAAGTCAGCTGAATTGGGGATATTCCCACTAGATAAAGTCCTCAGGCCTGGCCTGACCTGCAGAGCCACTGAGGACCTGTAGAAACTGTAGGTAGAGGAAAAGCAGATGCGTGAAATATAACGGTTAAATCTGTAATCAAACTGACTGCTAAATTCCTTCTAAATCTGGGAGTTTTCAAAACTACTTGAACAATTGAATAGGACCACCATTATGGTAAGGTTGAATTTTGAAACACAAAAAAAGTGTTCAGAAAGGTAAAGCGCTGTCTCCATAGGCCTGACATTTCTCTATGTCTGGGATATGCCAGAACCTCCTGGCCCCACTGGGAAGGGAGTCGGTTGTGATACTAGGCTGCTGAGTGACACAGGAGGGGTGAAATGTGGGAAGCACCTCCTTTAGTTCTGTGCAGGCTTCTAGAGCTAAATCACCTCATTGCCAGTCTTCATTTGTAGGGTCAGTGGAGCCCACAGCTAAGCAGAGAGTGGCTGCACCCAGTGACCACATCAGTGCCGCTCTGACTGTGCCCTCTTCCTGCTGGGAATTTCCTTTGTGTCCGTGTGTGCCATGTAGCTGTGCTGGAACTCCTCCAGGAGAAACAGGAATACAGCTTTTATCTCTGTTATTTCTGACCTGCTGTGATGTCAGCTGACCTGGTTGGATTAATTTTTAATAGAGAGATTGTCATTATTATATCCAGAGCTCTTTGTGACAAGACGGGTGACTAAAACCAAAATCACTGTATCCAAGGACTTCTAGTCTAGATGTGAAAATGCACTTACATGGTGCTGTAGGATGGAAATCTGATTTAAGGCCTCAACTCTTTTCTCTTTTGCTTTTGAATATTTTTCCTGTAGTATTTATTTCATTGCCGTAGAGTTACTGTTGAAAATGTAAAACATTTCCCAGAATGCAAGTGGCCATTGTGTGTGCGCCACACTGTTCTTACTTAGATTTGACCTCGTTGTTCTAGTCGAATACCAACTATCAAAACATGAGATGGCCTTGCATTTTTAAAACATCTCAAACAAAAATAGGAGAGTTGTTGGTTTTACTGATTTTTTTAGTTACATTAAACTATGTATTACATGTCATTTTGTAGCTTCTTTGAATAGAGATCCTTAAATTAAAAGATTTCTTACTAATAAACATGTAACCATTTCATGTTGCATAGTAGGAAACTTCACTTCTGTTTTACATACAGATTAGTGATGAAACATCACTTTTGACTTTGTTAAAGTTCAAATTCACAATGGTTTTACATTTTCAATTTTTAAATAAGTGAATACTTGGGGCTAGGGATTTAGCTCAGCGGCATAAGCACCTGCCTTGCAAGCAGGCGATCGTGGGTTCGATCCCCGGTACCGATAAAAAGAAAAAAGAAAAAAAAAGCGTAAAAAAAAAAAAAATAAGTGAATACTCTCATTCACCCATATAGAAAAATGGTACCTGTAAGGCTATTACTTCTTCACGTGTGTATTTCCTACCTGGTGACACTAGGAAAAGGACCAGTTAGGTGACTGGCCAAGGCTAGAGCCACATCTAGGGATGATGTACACAAGTGTAATGCCAGCACTCAGGAGGCTGAGGCACAAGGATCACCATGAGTTCAAAACCAGCCTGGGCTATATATATATAGCGAGACCCTGTCTCAGAAAAGGAAAAAAAAGGAAGAAAGGAAAGGAGGGATAGAGTCATAAAATAAAACTGCATTAACAAACAAAACTTGAAAATGATCCCAGGTTAGCCACCATGTGTCAAATAGTCATTCAGTTCCACAATTAGGATTTTATAGTGGATTCAATTGATTTTTTGTCAGGAACATGTTTGGCTATTGGGCACTGTTTTTGCAAAATGTTTTCTACACAGATACTAGATTGTTGAAATCTTAGATTAGTAACCTTTTTAAAAGAGATATCCTGCTAGATTGAGATAAACTAAAGGGTTAGGAAGCTAAGGTATACCTCTCAAATAGTTTTGTGTGTGTGTGTGTGTGTGTGTGTGTGTGTGTGTGTTTAATTGATGCCAGGGATCGAACTCACAGCTGCACACTTGCAAGGCAGGCACTTATGCCACAGAGATAATTTTTTGTTGTTGTTTTTAAGTAAGAACGTCAAACTAACCAGCACACCTGGGGGTCAACATCCGTATGAGGATGCTCTGCAAAGCCCTCTGTCCTATCGGGCTTCTTGCCCTCTCCCAGCTTCTTGCTCCTTTGCTGCTCAGTGGAGAAGTTGTTGGCCATGCATTGCAGCTCAAGCCATCAGAACACTTTCCTTGTCCTCGTACGACAGATGTTATTAGTTTGGCCAGAAAATCGCTGTTGTCTTGTAAACTAGAAGGTGAAGACTGGTCAGTGTAACAGGTCTATTTTCTGCAGTTGAACACCAGATTTATTTTTGCCGTGAAATCACTTTCCACTCACCCTCTCCAAACCGCACCTCTCCATCTGTGTGTCACCCATTCGTGTTGGCACATCTGAGCTACTCACACCCGAGCCCACAACTTACCAGGTGGGCAGCGCTGCTCTACAGCAGATGGGAGAAAAGTAATAATAAAGTAGATGGGGTGGCCCCTCCTGTTCGCCTCCAGCCTTCTCCAAGCGCAGCTACCAGCATAATCCCTGTTCGTGGAATCTCAGCAGAAAAGAAACATCTGTCTTAAACTGCCTGCATTTTAAAAAATATTTATATTGTCTGTGTTCTGAGATAAGTTGAGACTCTTTAAATTTTGAGAACCTATGGACTTCATTCCACATGAAGTCAAATTTTCAATACTATTGTGCTTATCTCTGCTATTATATTGGGGGGGTCTTCAGAAATCTCAGACCACCATCACGTTGTAAAGGGCTAGGACATTCTGATTGGAAGCACGGACCAGGGAGGTGGGAGGCTTGGTTTCCAGAACCAGCTGTGATCATTGATTAAGTGTTTCCTCTCACTTCTTTGGGTTCCCAGTTTCCTGTGACCTGCTGGGTTGGATCAGTGGTTCTGAAACCTGGCAGTGTGTTACAGTTATCTGGACTGCGTTTATGTGTGCCTCTGTGAGTGTGTGTATGCATGCATGGATGCGTGTGTGTGTTTACTTAAATTTCACCATGTGACTCTATAATGTGCAAGACTGACAAATCATAAAACTGCATTATAAATGAAATCACACCAGTTGTATTACTTTATGCTTATAATATGATCTTTTTAGATAAAAAGCTGACTTTTTGCTTAAAACAATTGTGTACATTTTATAGTTTCACACTGAAGGAGCCAGTGTTCTGTGATTCAGTATCTAGGAATCCAGAATTTAATCCTGGGCAGATTCTAGCCTTCTGTATGTAATTCACCAATCCACAAATGAATCTAAAGCATAACTTTTTTTAGTACAGAGTATTACAAATGAAATACTATTTTCACCTGAAATCCATCTTTTAAATCTTTTAGGTCTGACTTTTTTAAGGAAGGAATAAATTGAAATAAGTCTTGTAGAAGACAGAAATAAACATTACCCTCTTGCCTCCCAAAATGACAGGTTAGGATTTTGTGCTAAGTATAGTTTTTTCTTACAGAAACAGATTATCTAGAAATAATTTATACAGCTTTGTCGTTGTGGAGTATCCTTTTTTTCCTGTTTTGAAAAACGTATATGTGCCTCTGCCTTTAACTGCAGTCTTGAGCAGTCAGTTTAAGTGAAAAGGGTGAACTGGAACTGCGTTAATCCCACCCTCTAAGCAGAAGCACTCAAAACAGCTTACTTTCGAATGACCTGACCAGAAGCTGTAACCCTCCATCCCTGGGCCCCTGCTGGACAAATGTGAACCATTGTTGCATCAATGAAGGGTGCATAGCTCTGGTCATGGGCTCTGGTTACCTCTCTCTATGAGCTGCTTGCTTTTCCCATTCATAGGCCCTCACAGGGAGAAAGGATTCTCATCACTAACTGCCAGAGAGGCTGAAATGTCCTGTTGGCCTGCTGTGCCCAGGCTCCTCAGAGTTGCCCTGGCACATTCTTTTGAAAGCAAGTGAGAATGGACATAAAATGGACAAGTGTGATGTCATATTCTTAAAATCCTAGCTCTCAGGGAGGCTACAGCAGGAGGATCACAAATTCAAGCCCAGCAACTCTTAGCAAGACCTTATCTCCAAACAAAAAACAAGGGCTGGAACATGGTTCAGTGCCAAGGCCCTGGGTTTAATCTCCAATATTGCATCATCATCATCACCATCATCATTGTATTGGGTGATGTCTATCAGATATAGTGGTGATTTTGGTTGCTCATGATGTCTTAGATCTAAAAGAAGACTCATTCAGTGGGCCCCTCCTAAAGCCTTCAGGAGCCCTTGGGAGCAGCAGCACTTGCCAGACACTCTTGACCTCTGACTGCCTTTATTTTCCAGAGCCCATCCCCACCTTCTCCTGGCAGCGGGAGGACACAGACTCTGATGAAGCCCGCCTCTCCCCACAGGCTGGGCGCCTGATTCGCCAGCTGCTGGAGGAGGACAGCGACCCCATGCTCTCTCCTCGATTTTATGCCTATGGGCAGAGCCAGCAGTACCTGGATGACACAGAAGTGCCTCCTTCTCCCCCTAATTCCCACTCTTTCATGAGGTATGTTCTGCACTGCTGATAAGCAAATGTACCATCCCCACAACATGAGAAAAGACAGGAATGGTGGTGGTGGCTAGCAGTTTTTTGAACATTAGGTCGTGAGGATGTGGAGGAACTTTGTAGCTGAACGATGGCCCTTTGCTATTCGTAAACATGAGGAACAGAAAGTTAGACCACTTAATAGGTGGGACATAGAGAGCTTAGAGTTGCAGGATGAATCAGTGAGCTTCTCCTTAAGAGGACAGGGCAGAGCAGATTTCCCTCTTGCCTCCGAACTGGTGGCATCCCACATTCCCAGGGGCCCTCCTGCTGTCCCAGCTCTGTCAGGGGACTGACCATGCTGCCCCCTCAACAGGCGAAGAAGCTCCTCCCTCGGGTCCTATGACGATGAGCAAGAGGACCTGACCCCTGCCCAGCTCACACGAAGAATCCAGAATCTTAAAAAGAAGATCCGAAAGTTCGAGGACAGATTTGAAGAAGAGAGGAAGTACCGAGTAAGCGTCCGTTTGTCTTTCAGAAAGCAATACAAGTTCAAGGGGCTTTCTAGGGAACCTCAAAACAAAAAGACAGTAGGCATTGAAGAGTAAAGCCTGATGAATCTTAACCACCATGTGTGCAGGGTTTCTTACACTGTCCCAGCCAAGTAAAACAGTAAAAGTTTAAGTCTACAATTGATAAATGTGTTGATTAGCATTGAATAATTTATCAAAGAGCATTGAGTAAAATCCTTTGGCTAAATGCAACTCAAGGCTATGTCCTGAACTTGGTCAGTACCATGCATATTCTACCCCCATTCTGTCTTCCCTGTGGCCCACAAGGTGGTAGCAAGTGTCTCTCATGGTGACTGCAGCACAGACAGAGCCCTGCGGGGAGCAAAAATGAGACCAGAGAGCCCACAGGAGCCCATGATGATAAGGACCCAGCATTTTGCCTCTGAGAAGTTGTTTGACGGCATCAGAAAAAAAACAGTTATTGACAACATGATGGAATTATACTATGATTTCCCTGACTAATCATGGCTGATTTCTTATGCTAAGGGACACCACATTGCCCTCCTGTGTAAAATAAAGACAACTGTCCAATGCACTCCTTTTTGCTGCCTCTGCAAAAACATTTACTCTGGACTTTCCCTTCTCAGCCTTCCCACAGTGACAAAGCAGCCAATCCAGAGGTTCTCAAGTGGACAAATGACCTTGCCAAGTTTCGGAAGCAACTTAAAGGTAGGTGATGATCAGCACCTGCAGTGTGGCCTCTGTGCACCAAACCAGGGGCCCAGTCTGTCACTCAGCCCAAGCTGAGTGCCCTGCTGTAGCAATCCAGGACTGTAGGTGCTCCTCCGGATATCAGCCTCTGTCTTTCCAAGGTCTCAGTCCCAGGACACCACATTGGCTAAGAGGCAAATTCTGCAGCACTTTTGCATCCTCCAAATCACTAATAGGAAGATGATGGTTTCAGGCCAACACTTTGTAAGCTCCTCTTAATCCAGGGCTTCATGTGTTTTGGTGTTAGGAGAAGACATGTAGACACAGAGCTGCATCTGAAAGCATTTGGCCCCTCAAATAGCTTGCTCTCATTTAGGAGGCCATCCTATAAAACAACTGAATGGAATAGAATTTAAATAATGTGAAAATGTGGTATAAAGTTACACAGAAATTAACCGGTCAAGCGTTAAATCGGGACACCTTTATCCACCAAGGGCAGGAGTATGCAAAGATGTGAGAACAGCAGTGAGCTGAGGTGGCAAAAACATGGTTGTTAATGGGCTAAAACTTTCTCAGGAATTAGGGTTTGGGAAACATTCCAGATAATCCAGGAAGACATTATCATTATTTTGGGATTTACATAATGACTCAGGGATTTCATCTGATATTATAATTAGATGCTTGGGGGAAAAAAGATGTAGCTAAGCAGTTATTGACATCACAGAACAATAACTTGGGTTCAGCAGGCACTGCTTCTCACATATCCCCACCCCAAATCTTCTCGCCTAGAATCAAAACTAAAGATATCTGAAGAGGACTTAACCCCCAGGATGCGGCAGCGAAGTAATACACTCCCCAAGAGTTTCGGTTCCCAACTTGAAAGAGAAGATGAGAAGAAGCAGGAGCTGGTAGATAAAGCACTCAGGCCCAGCGTCGAGGTCACCCTGGAATCCATCCAGAGGAAGCTCCAGGAGAAGCGAGTAGAAAGCAACCGCCCTGAGGACATTAAGGTGTGGTGGATCAGAAGAGGCTGGCCCTAAGCCATGGCAGCCAGCAGGGGACAGAAGCAAGGACATGCCCCAAGAATCCCCAAGGAAAGCAGCATCTCTGTAGACCCCTACACGTCTAGGGAAACAGATGAGACGACTGCAGTGTGTTTTATCTGTGGGTACTTTGGTTTTTGACTACAGATTGAAAACAGACAGCTCTGTAAATCACAGCATGAACCTAGTGAGGTGAAAGTGCAGTTTGACAACTCTGAGGTAGGAGGATTACAGACAGACAGATTCCCAGGCCTGTGTAACCTGGAGCCATCGACATCACTCAGGCAGCTGAATTAAGGCCCGGGTACCTGGGAGCCCTGCTTTGCACGGCAGTGAGCACGCGTCCGCCTAGTGGGAAGCAAGCAGCCACCGATGTTCCGCTGTGCTGCCCGTGTTGCTGGCAAGAGGTCAGAAGTGGCTTTTCTGAGTGAGCTTTGGACAGAGAGAGAGAGAGAGCAGCTTTATGGGGATTCTTTTAACCTTCCTTAGTAGTAGATCTGTTTAACTAACTAAAGAAGTTGGAATGTTCACAAATGTTTTCCCCTCTTTCATTTCTTGTCCCTGTGTTTATGCAGGATATGACCAAAGACCAAATTGCTAATGAGAAGGTGGCTCTGCAGAAGGCCCTGCTGTATTATGAAAGCATTCATGGACGGCCGGTATGTGGGGCTGAATCTTCCTACTGTGGTCGGTAATCTGGCTTTGGGAATGGATTTTCTATGTCCAGTATCTTATAATAGGGATCCCTCAGGTTTGCTCTCTTTATATTTAGTTAAAGGAGATTCATTGCACATCACAATATATTGACGCTTTTTGAAAGGTTAGTGTTATCTAACTGAATTGAAAGCTACAAAGAAAATTCATTTGTGACTACAGTTGAATGGCTGGACCCCTGATTGGGGTGAGAAGAGAAGAGCATGCACCCTAGGACTCAAGTAAGTCTTCCTGCAATGCAGCTGCAACCAGTGCTGGTCTCTAAAGCACCAGCTGCCTTCAGAAGCAGGAGTGTGAGGCACCCAGAACGCCCCGCCCTTGAGAGGTAGCTTGTTATTAAGCAAGCGGTTATTGAATGTTTGTTGTCAGTTGTGGGCGAGAGAGCACAATGATCCAGTCCTGCTCTTGAAGGACTTGTAATCAGACATCCTTTTTAGTTACTCTTCACCTGTTCACAAAACAAATTCTTAAAAGCAGGTAGAAGAAAGCGTAAAGATAAGGTTCACAGGTGAATTTTTACATAGCCAAAAAGCACAGGTCTCTTTTTTTGCCCTAGCTGTAACTGTATAATGGATACCGTCCTGTCATCTAAAATATACTCTGCGATATAAAGAATGATGTACTGGTTTGCTGTATTTCTTTTTAATACCGAGTTGCATCCCCAGCTTCTAGCCTTACAGTCTGTCACAGGTGCCTGGCATTGTGCACCCAGTGCTGAACCCAGTCCTTGACATCTAACCAGACCTGCCACATAGCATGTGCCTAACGATACTCTGTGGAACGCATTCACCATTGAATTTGGGCTCAGAATATATCAGGTTTAAGTTTTTTAAACACCAGCACTGATAATGACTGATTTTGCTGGCCTGTCCCTGCAGTGGAAAAATACTAGCACCATGATAATGTTCATATTCAAGCCATTTTGTCTCAGATTTTTTAGAGCTCAAACTTAGTCCTGCCTTCTGGAGCTTCAGGAACTCGCAGAGGTAAAACAGAGCTTCTGCAGAGAGCCTGTAGGCTCAGGACACAGAGCATGGCTCTCACCAGCACCCGGCAGCCTGTGTCGCTGTGTGCGCACCTTCCTCTAGCTTCCTTCCTTCCTTGTGTGATTCAGACTGTGACATTGATAGACACTTTCTAGCACTCCTCACCCAGCTCCAAGAGCACACAGCTGCCTACTGGGTAGACTTAACCTTGCTGCTGAGTCCTCAATGGTGTTCCTGGCTCCCAGCCGGTGGCTGCACTCATCCCCTGGCCTGAGGCTGGAGGCAGACTCCTCCGCTTTACAGTCACCTCGGACTCCAAACTCTCGGAGGTGGTGACCTCTTGGACCCTCAGTGCTTTGTTTGTAAAAGAGATGTCTCTTATGGGCTGTCATGGAAATGAAGTGGTGTTGCAGACACATGCAGTCACCTGTTCATGTAGTATAGATATTACCTGTAGCTTGTCTAGCCCTGAGGAAGTGGGCTAGCCTCACCTTTGGGGTTGTATAGTAAATGACAGTTTTCACTTCTGGTGCAATTACATGTTCTCTCTGTTGCCTACTTCTGATTAAATGATGAAATCAGAGGGAAAAAAGGTCCCTTTGTACCCACATATCATCAGGAATATGAAACATTAGTCCACAGCCCTGCCTTGTTCTCTTGTCTTTCATAGTGCTTTCAGACGCGGTCTGGATTCCAGCATCCCACAGGACAGAAACAAATGCTCTAGGTAACTTGAGTGTCATTCATTTCTGGTCCCAGGCCAGGCTTTCTGCCTCTCTCTGGAACGAGATGCTCCAATCTTCTAAGGAAAAGCAGAGTTCTTTTGACATCTTTTGACATCTGACCAGTCAGAAAACCAGAGAGTGAACTTCTGATTCCTAGACCTGTGGTGTTACCCGGAGCCTGTGAATACCATTTGGATGACATTCTTCTCAGATGAAAAATGCTTGTATTTCCAGAGCTGCAGTATTGTTCCAAGCCCCAATTTTTCAGAAAAACAAGTACTTAGAACTCTTTTTTCCCTAAATCTGCAGATTCTTATTTAAAAAGTTATTAGCTATCAGAATCATAGGGCAAAACATTTTTTTTTGTATTTTTTTTAAAGCAATGCTGTTCATTTTAACAAAGCATGCTATATTTGTCTGTCCTTTTCAACATATAAGGATCTCAAGAAATGCTGTGACACAGGAAAAGGGAAACATAACAGCAGATCACCACATTACCTTCAGCCTACATGGACCTCTGACAGTAAATAAGTAGGGGAGAGAATAGACTGCTTGATCAGACCTTGCAGGTTGTTCTTTAGTCTTCTCCTCACTGGCATATTTTAATCCCATTTCCAAACCATGGTGACTAACACAACAGTAAACATAGTAAGGTTTACATGTAAATGCAAATTGTAGAGATGTGTATAAATCCTGTTCTTTGGTTAGCTGCTGTTTTGGACTTTCTGATCTTTGCACAGACCACCTACTAATATCACTCTATAATTAAGAAAGAGTTGTCATTTTCCAAATTAATGGGCCAAGAATACAACTGTTGTAAGAATCCATCTCCTTTTGTCTTGAAGCAGTTCTATGACTCACAGGTAGGCCTCCACACACAAATGTAAACCTCCTTTTATTTTACTGAGATTTTGAGGCAGTGTAGTTTTATTGTTGTTTTTGGCAGTGTAGTTTTTTTGTCTAGAAAAACATACTTTCTTACAAAGTTATGCTTTTATGCCACTTTCTGTAAACAGAGATCTTTGCAAGCTCCACACAGAGTTCACAGCGTAGAAAGCAGAATTCTTCTATTGAATGGACAGCTTGGCCAAGCCCTCTTAGTAACACTGCAGGATCACATTTCCTCATGTCTCATGTATTTGTGAATGGAAAAACTACTGGACTGGGAAGTCACACTTGATTCAGCAGTAAAGCTCTGGGCAAATCATTGTTCTCTGCAATGTTTAGTTTTATCCCTCATCTAGAACTAAGATTCCATGCCTCTAATTTTCTGAGTGAATATGTCAGTCATGTATCATTCACCTTTGGGATCTGTCAAAGTAACGGCAACCAGACTGATGTAGGGAGATTGTATTTGAGGCAAAGAGAAAACATCACAAAAGATAAAGGTAGGCAAAAGCAGCTGTGTGATCAGTGCTCTATGATTTCTATTCAAGGCGTACCACTCTTTCAATATGGGCAATTATTGGCTGCAGTGCTGGGGATCAAACCCATGGCCTTGTGCATGCAAGGCAAGAGCTCTACTACTGAGCCACATCCCAGCCCCTCTTGTGTTTTGAAATATTATTTGACTCTTACAGAGTAACCAGAAAGAGCAGTGAGCAGTGCAAAACATTTTTAAATCATAAGTGAAGACAGAGTGGAACTACTACCCCTCCCATTAGATCTTCCTATCTCTATATTTATGTTGTTTTGATCGGAGTGCAAAAAATACATCATAATACCCAATTTCCCACACAACAGAAAACCATTCAGCATTCCCACTTAAATGAAAACTAATGTTTTGAGAGAAGAATGAAATGGTTTTAAAGATAGTATGCTATACATTCGGCCTAAAGTCCTTTCCAAACAAGTGTGGTGTCCTCAGAGACTCCTCGTCAGGAAAGTGAGGCCCGGGGAACTGTAGCGGCCACGTTTGTTTATCCTATGCTTGGAAGGGGACTGGTGAGTCATAGGTCTAGCCTCATTAGACACTGTAAACAGTTCTCCAGCTCCACCCTTCCTGCGCTGAGCAGTGTTCCAGCTGTTCAGACAGCTCGCCAAAACTTGACCTGTCTCTGTGTGAGCCTTCTGGAGGTGGGCAGTGGGAACTGTGGTATGAGTCTTACCTTTTCATAGGAAATCATTTAGGAGTTATTATAGTTTTGTCACTTTTTTTTTTCCCTGGAGACAAGGTCTCACTTCATAGTACAGGTTGGCCTTGAACTCGCCTATAGCCGAGGCTGGCACTGTTGAACTCAAGGTGATCCTTCTGCCTCAGCCACCCAAGTGCTGGGATTACAGGCATGTGCCACCACGCTTGGGTTTGTCAGTATTTCATATGGTGAATAGGAAAATCAAACACCAGGCTAGAGGAGGAGACAGATGGGTGAACACAGTGCAGACTCAGAGCTGGGTGTTCATGAAACACAAGCACATGCAGAGCGGGCTGGTGCTACGGAGGAGAGCCTGCTTTCCGGGGCAGCGCTGTGGAAGGAGCTGCACGGGGAGATGGTTCTGGATCTGCAATCTGCTGAACAGAGAGGAGCCGGGGGGAAGCCATTTCTAGGCAGAACTCTGAGCCATATTTTAGGGACTCCTCAGACGAATCATCCATGTGTTGTGTCAGCAGATGTTCCTTGAATGCCTCCTACATGCCAGAATCATTTCTAAAATCACAGGGAGAAAAGCATGTAAATAAATCAACTGTAGGCCCTCGTGATAGGCTTCGTAATAAGCATGCATGCTTTCTCCTTCCAGACAGTATTGTCACCTGGCAACATTGAACCTTGAGGAGTTTTAGGCAAAACTGAAGAATGATTATAGTTTTTGACTTATATAAGCAATACTACCGGTGGAGTGATTTCCACTAATCCACACCCAAAGTAAGGATTTTAAGTATTTAATTAATATTCAATTTAATATTCAATTAATATTGAATAAATAATAGTGTCAGTTTAGAAACACCTTTTAAGAATGATAAAACAATTTGCATGGTCTGTTTTTCTCTAGGACCGCAAGGAGGGCCTACAATGTATTTGGACAGGTGGTAACATGCCCTCTGGGAGCAGCCTGTTTAGCAGTCCTTTTCTTGCTTTTCAGGTGACAAAGACTGAACGCCAGGTTATGAAGCCACTGTACGACAGGTACCGGCTGGTCAAACAGATCCTGTCCCGGGTCAACACCATACCCATCATTGTGAGTGCAGAACCTCCCGGTCACTATCCTACCTTTTCAGCTGAGTGATGCGTACAGACCCTCTCCTGCTCTCTCAGCCTCAGTAGTTAAGCCAGCCATTAATGTCCATGGCTTAAAACATGAAGACTTCTGAGGGATGTGCCAGAATGAGCCAAAAATGAGCAACTCTGAAGCTGGTAGGGGTCCCCCTTTCCAGGGGATAGACTCGGGCTACGTGCATCCACCTGGCACGTACAGCTCCCTGGCCTTTTCCTCAGCAACAAAGCACAAGGGGCGGGGCTGTGCCTCATGCAGCCTCTACTCCAGAGGGCCTTTCTGGTCCCAAAGGTCCCCTTGTTGACAGTCCTCCCGACCATGACACGGAGAGCTCCCTTGGGAGTCAGATCCGGGAGAATGTTCTAGAAAGTTACAGAGAGGTTGTTCCTCTTGGTGGCTGCAGGGGATGTGGAGAGATGGAAAGAAAGGGAGAGAGGCTAATGGCTGGAGGTCCTTCCTAGCCAACACTCTTGGACTCAGCTGCTTAAAGCCCCTGGATCGTGCCCTCATTAGGATTAGGGACAGCAGCTCACCTCCAGCATGGGCACCTCTGGGCAAGCACCTACACCTGACTGCAGAGCCCACCTCTGCCAGAGCATCACCAGCCTCAGTGCCCTCCTCCCTCTGCTTTAACAGCTCCTCAAGCCTTGCTCTGCTGTGTCTGTTAAGATGCAGATACCTGTGATCCTGCCCTTCTTTAATCTCTTTATTCCCATTTAAATTCCCTTTAATGGGGCTGGAGGTGTAGCAGTGCTACAGTGCCTGCCTGGCAGGCAAAAGGTACCAGAACAAACAAAAATTGCTTTTAACAATTGTTTGTAATGAATGAGACCTCAGGCAGGTGAAGAAAGTTACTGTTCCTAGAAATTCCTGTAGGGTAATGAAAGATTAAATCTCAAGAATCATTGCTTTCTCGAGTTAGAAACCCTGGGCACCTAAATCAGAGAAGCCCCATAGCCTGGGAGTGGCTGTGAGCTCAGATACCTTTAGTGTCCTCCCAGTCACAGCCTGGAGGCGGGAGGTCTTTTCTCCCTAGGGTTTTCCCGAGTGCTGCTCAGTGAAGACTCCAGTGCTGTTCTTGCCTCTGCTGATGTGTGTGGGCTTTGAGGGAAGCAGCCACTTGGAAATGAAATGTAATTGTCTTGGGTTCTCCTGGGAGCATCTTAACCCAGCTGGATAAGAGATGGTGATAAATACCGGGATGGGCAGAAGCGGCACCGTGTAACCTGCTGTTAACACCTGTCACAGGGGTCCCCCTCCAGCAAGCGGAGAAGCCCATTGCTGCAGCCAATTATCGAGGGTGAAACTGCTTCCTTCTTCAAGGAGATAAAGGTGAAGAGCCCCAACCCTGCTAAACCCAGCCCACCCAGCCGCACAAAGGCCTGCGCTGAGCCCTCCGCCCCTTCCCTGGCCACCACAGGCTGACCTCCTTTATTGGAGACACCCTGGCTCCCTTAGTAGTTCTCTCCCCTCCTTGTTTCTGTTTTGACTTTGCTTTTGGGGATTGTTTTCCATACGCTTTTTTTGTTTTGTGTTGTTTTTCCCTATTTGGGGAATAGTGTTCTGTATTCCAAAATGTTAAATTAGCTCATTGAACCAAATCTAAATTTTTTAAAAATCACATACACTGAATGTGTAGAAAAAACAGAATTAACAAAGGCAACATACACACGTGGTGCCTCCGCTCACAAGCTGATTATCTATTGGCCCACATTATGGTCAGAATTTCAGATAATTCTGCAACACTTATGTTGCTTTTGTAAATAATGCTGTTACCTGGTTCTTTTTGTTCCAACTGGCCAGGCTTCCTATTTGTACTTTTATTAATTCTTGACAAATGAGACACAATTTAAAATTTGATGTTTGTACAGAGAATAAAATTCTATCTAAGAAGTTTCATTAAAACCCATCCCTGTTTTTAATTACTTATAGGAAGGAAGTAGCTATGTAAGAAACAGAGCCAGCGCACATTTTGAGCCCTAGATCTTCAGGCCAAAGAAATCGAGCCAGCCAATCTCAGTTAATTCTTATAAAAACTATACAGATGGAAATTGTTATTCCTCAAAAAAAAAAAAAATTTAAAAAGTTAGATTTCAGTCTATAAATGTTAAAACATTTTTTGGGTGTTTTGTTTTGTTTTTTGACAATTTGTAAATTACTGAGGCATTTCCATGTCTATGGACCAAGCAACAGGCCTGAAGGCATAGCTGAGAGAATCAGGGAAAGCCACCCCCAGTGTCCCCAGTGTCTGCAGTGTCTCACTTTTGTGCTTTGTGAGGGTGCCTGCATCTCAGTCTGCAGCAGACACAGGAGCAGTTGCAGGGATCTGGAGGGCAACAGTGCTCAGCTCTCTAGTGAAAGCCCTGCAGCCTGTGCTCAGGCCCTAATTGGGTCGCTGTCCTCTCCAGGAGGAGGAGGAGGGCTCCGAAGACGACGGCCACACGAAGCCGGACTTCACAGTCACTTTGAAAACAGACTTCAGCACACGCTGCTTCCTGGACCAATTTGAAGAGGATGCTGACGGGTTTATCTCCCCAATGGATGATAAAATACCATCAAAATGCAGCCAGGACACAGGGCTTTCGAATCTGCACGCCGCTTCAATGTAGGTCATTTTAGTAGTGGTGTTGACGTGGTTCTGTGAAAGTAGTCTTTAAAGCTTATCTTAGCCCTTTGGATTTAACTAAGTGGCTGACAAAATATTAGAAACTTAGGTGGGGTGAGAGCGTGTAGCAATTTAAAGAAAAAATATCCTTGTCCGACTTGGGTGCCTGCAGGAGCAGCAGCTCTATGCCTGGCAGCTCCTCACCACCCTGGCCCCGCAGCGCAGAGGCGGCCTCCTGTCTGCAGGGAACTGCACTGGGCAGGGAGCAGCGGCCAGAGGCCACTGTCCTCAGCTCCTGTGGGCCTGGGGAGCCAGCACTCCCCCCACCCTGTCTGCCCACTTCGTGGTCCTTGCACTCACCGCAGTGCACCATTCACCTTCCTGACTTTTTTTTTCTTACCTCTTAGACCTGAGCTCTTAGAACACCTTCAGGAAATGAGAGAAGAAAAGAAGAGGATTCGGAAGAAACTTCGAGATTTCGAAGACAATTTTTTCAGACAAAATGGAAGGTAATGTTTCCTCCCCTGCCCGGGCTTCAGCACCACTACAGCCCCAGGCAGTTGGGTCGCTGCATCCCAAGGGCGAGCTCTCTGCCTCCTCCTGGATCTGGGTGCTGGGTTTGTGCCCAGGGACCCCAGACGCTGGCAGTAACTCGATGAGATTTGCTTCTGGGCTGATGTCCAAGACCGATGCAGATTCAGTTCACATTTCTAAAACTAACCTGTCACATCTAATCTTCATCTAAAACAGGCAGCTGGCAACTGAATTTCAAGTTAACGGCCCTTTTTTAAGAAACCAGGAGAATTTAGAGAAAAGAGGCTTTAAATCGTCATTGATTTTTAAGCTTGTTTTAAAAATAAATGCTGGAGAGGTGATTTAGTGGTAGAGTGTTTACCTAAAATGCACGAGATTCCATCACCAAAGCCACAGACAGACAATAAATAAATAAATAAATAAAATTGATAGTTGTCCAGGCTGAATGCAAAAAACACAGACATAGTCTGCAAAGAAGTAATGTTCCAAATTTCCAAGTGAGTTTGCCAGTGTCTTAGTCACAGCAAAGCCTGAGGATACACTTGCATCTCTCGCATTGGAGTTAGGGTTTATCATTTTAAATTGGTTTTGTCTTAATCCAAATTAGAGAACTTTTCATACTAAAGCTTAGGGAAATAAAAGCACCAAAAAACCAACAAACAACACCCCTAACTTTGGTATTTAAAATGTGTTGGATTCCAGTTTAGGTGAATACTATATAAATTTATTTTTAGTACCTCTGATTTGGATCTGCTCTATAATGACTATCTCAAAATTGGTACATTTCGTACCTGAATATTTGCTTTTCATTTCCCACATGTTGCAAGATATGCAGAGGATATAGATAAGCAAACAAGTGTTTCCCAAATAATGTCATCAGAGATACATTGAGATTAATATTTTGCTGTGTTTCCTCTACTCAGCCTCTTTCAGGCATAGTTTTGGTTTGTCTATATTTCCTTCCTGTATTATTACTGGTACAGATTATCAGTAGTATCCTATATATAAAGAACTGTATATAATTAGGTAATATATACCTAAGCTCTTTTGTAAAGTATAAATATTAGAATTTAACTTCATCATCATTAGAAATTTGAACTGGAGAGACGTACGGTGTCCTAGGAGCTGGCTTCATTTCACATCTGCAGGTAGCATAGCCCCTCATCAGGAAGCCTCAGTGATGGGAGGCAGATGCCAGCTCCCAGGGCCTGGTCTTGCCCTCAGCTGAGGGCCACCTAGAGTCCTTTCCTAGAGTGAGGCAGAGCACAAGTAAAGCCAGTTTTGTTTTACTTTGTTAAAATAAACTCCATGTTATTGCCAACTGCCCCCATGGCTCCGTAATGAAACAAGAGGGTGGCCTCTGGCGCTGACCCTACCTGCTGCAGGGGCTTGGCCACCCTGTGGTATGACAGTGTGTGGAGACTGTACCTGTGACACCTTCCCACTCAGCTGTGGTCAGGGATATTAGAGGGCAGTGCAGTGCCTGACCCATGATAACCCCTGAGTTCTTGTGTATATAAAAATCTGCATATTTAACTATAAAGGCTTATCAGAACATGACAGAACTGTTGAATTCCGCAACCAGTTGTATAACTGGGAATATTACCTGTCTGTTCTTGAAAAGCCTATAGCAATTGCTAATCAGAAGTTAAATGATTTATTAGGCAAAATTATAAAACTGAAAAAGCTTTAAGTATGAATGAAGGATTTCAGCTCATAGGAACTCAACATGAAATCATGCTCGAGAGGTCTTCTACATTCCTTAGTCCTAGAAGATGCCAGATTAACAGTTCAAGCCTTCAGGGGAAAACTTTTCACCAGTTATCTAAAGCCAGCCCTGTCTTGAGGCCAAGCTACATTTGTCTATACTGATCCTACAGGGTGATCATGCAATTTCCACGTGACGATGCTGTATTTGCCTGATGAACGGTATCGTCCAGCAGAGGCAACAAATAGTCTTCAGCCCCTTTTCCTTTGTTTCCACTAGAAATGTCCAGAAGGAAGACCGCACCCCCATGACTGAAGAGTACAATGAGTACAAGCACATAAAGGCCAAGCTGAGGCTTTTGGAGGTGCTCATCAGCAAAAGAGACACTGACTCCAAGTCCATGTGAGAGCAGCTGCCCCGCCAGGGCTGTGGGGCGGGGAGGTTCGCTGCAGTCTGGTAGAGAGCTCTGCAAGGCCGCCTTGAGCTGATGAGCACCACCTGCAGCCCTTCTGCCTCCCGGGAACTGTCTCCAAGGAAGACATGTGACCTGCCTGAGGAATTTCATCATGGGGAAGCCAGGATTGCTACACATACAGACACACTCACACACAGGAGCTTCACTAACATAGCAGAGATGAATCACTACATTAGACACAGCTGTCTGCAGAGAATACACCCTGTTCTTCCCTGGGTAACTGGGAAACAAGGCCACTCTCGGTCTGTGGTGGAAACAAGCTCAGGATCTCTGTGGAGCAGCAAACTCGAAAGGGCTGTGCTCTCCCCAGCCCAGTGTGCACGTGCACTGGAGCCCTGCCTGCTGCTGCTCTCGGGCCAAGCTCGGGTCCTTTCCTCGGAGCTGCGCCTCCCCGCTCATCCAAACACCTTTCCCTTCCAGCTCTCAGGTAGACGGAAGCTGCTGTGCCATCTGTTTGGGGCAATGTGGCATCTAGGTGAGGGTGCAGTTCCTCGGGCCTTCCTGAGCTGACAAGACACTCATCCCTGGAGGAGGACCAGATGTCCACTGAGGACAGGGAGTACAGCAGTGGCCATGTTAGTAATGCTTATTTAAGAGCAGGCACACAGGTGAACCAGGGGTGGTTTCCTGGCCCGTGACTGCCCTTAGTGCTCTCCGACTTTACATCCAACACTAAGTGAGGATCGCATGCTTGGATAGCCTGTTTGGTTGTGGCCCTGGTCAAGCATCAGGAGTCTTGCTTAATTCCAAGCCTAAATGCAGAGGATAACAGGAGAGGAAGCCTAAGTCTTCAGCCTCCTGAATACTTACCAGATTTTAAGTTTTTGAAAAAGTAAATCTGCACTAAAATTCCCAGACAGGTAACTGTAACCCTCAGAGCTGCAAGCAGAATCTTGTAGCTCTAGGCAGAATTTAACTCAAACTATTTTAAAGATCATGCATAGAAAGAAAAAAATAATAGTATGTGGCCAACTTTGATTCTGTTTTTCAAAGACTGTGTTACAAAGCTGTCTATATTAGACATTTTGGAGGGACCAGGGAGTTTAAGACACCAAATCGTTCGTCTCTTCAGTGCTTGACGTCACCATGTGATTTGTCCTTCAGCTTTGGTTTTCTGCCTTTGTGTTTGGGGAGGGGAGGGGGCAGAGCACAGCCATGGCTGGTGACAGGACAGGGTCCAGCAGGCGGAGTCTCTCCAAGGCAATGCTGCACGGAGGACAGGGCAGCGGGGATGCCCTCTTGTTCAGACAGCCGCCTTCTCCAAGAGTACTGTTTCATTTTAACAGCAAAGGGAGGGAACAGAAGCCACACTGACCAGCTGTCAGTGGTAAAATGGGTCTTGATGGCTAGGGATGTAGCTCAGGGCACAGCACCTGCCTGATAGGTGCGAGGTCCTGAGTTCAGTTCCTGAGACCCAAAAGAAAACAAAAAGTGCATCTTGAGAAACCTCTGGCTGGTGGGCCACACACAGCACTGCTGGTGCTGTGAGGCAGCAGCTCTGCCGCTGAAAGCTGTTCAAGTGGACACGGGGGACTGAATGCTGTAAGTCTGCTTTAATCACAGAGAAGCATGAGCTGGGTTAAAAGTGCCCTGGTTTTCATATACATACTTACAGGCGGTACCTACGAATTCAAATGTACATGAAAATATAGTTTGATATTTTTTGCTGTTTACATTGCAAATTGCTATAATTTCAAGGAGTTATAAATAAAATGATGCACTTTAGGACATTTTCTATTTTTGAAATCTGAACATGAATCATGCACATGACCAAAAATTGTATTTTTTAAAAGAAACACATGTCTAATCTGTCCTTTTTAAGTACTTGTTCTCTTTTAAAAGCTATACTGTAAATCATTAGCAGTTAACTTGTAAAGCACATCTGTTTAAGAGTGTTGTTTTGAAAAACTATACTTCAGAATTTTTTTTTTAAAGCTACATATAGGTAAGAAGCCACTAAGATGTTTTGAAATCTGTTGCTTCTGCCAAAGGTAAATTAACTAGAAGATATATTCAGGAATCCCCTTTCAAATTTGTATGATTCAATAAAAGAAACACCAACTTATAGTAAAGTAAGTTGTGAAGTGTTTTCCTTTGTAATTTCTAACCTATATTCTTCATAGAATGGAGTTGAAATTAGTGGGGAAGGGAAAGCTAGGCTTATGCCAGCTGTTCTCTGAAGGCAAGTTACTCAGTGATATTGGCTCTGCCAGAAATGCCAAGGCGAATCTGTTTCTACAGCAACCGATTCTGCAGCCCAGCATCTCTGGCACTGAGGCCAGCATCACTGGCTCCACACAGGCAGACTGCTCCGGGCTGCAGTGTTTCCTCTGCTCTCGGATATGTGTCCATTAGCACATGCCAACAAAATAGATGTCAAGGGTTAATAGCAATGATAAGTAAAGGTAAAGCCTGAGTAAACTTGATTATATGATCATAAGACTTGAGTAGCAAAGGCTTGTAATTTTACTGAGCACTTGCTTTTATTGTGTTCAGTCTGGAGTAAACACTTAAATAGCTGTTTATATTCAGCATGGGATGTCATTACTGTACTTCATCCTTGAATCATATTGTGTGGACTGCACTTTCTAATTCACTTTCTAAGACATGGAGCTGCATGTTTAGGGTAAAGGCCAATTTAGACCTTAAGACAGTTCAAGTTTGTCCTTTGTTGCTAGAAAAAAGCACTACCTCATCCATCCTCCAACTCAGGAACAATTTCCGTGAAAGACTGAAACGGGTTTCAAATCAAATGACTTATTTTAATAATTGCTAGTTAAGAGTTCATGGTGAGCCATTAGATAAGATTTCTTCCTTTTGGTTGCCAGGTTGAAGTCAAAGATCAGTATCTATTGCCTAGAACAGGGATCAGCTAATGGCTCTGCAGCTCTGCTCATTTTTGCTTTGTCTGTCTGATGCAACACTTTCATTGTGGGCGCCTTCTAGCAGGGTGTCTGCTTCCTGCTTTGATATTTCACACCCAGGAACGAGCGTCTCTGGGCTATGCTTGTATCATCAATACTGCGCTAAGATGTCCCCAAGCCAGCAGTCTTGGAGCCGCAGGACCTGAGCATTTGTGAGTGTGGCTGAGCTTGGAATTTCTTCGATGGTGGATGCTGGGTATATCACCAGCTTATAAGGGAATGGCCAAGATGGCAGTGAAGCTGGTTCTGTCTGGCAGTTGTCTGGATTTCAGTAGAGAGAATTAGACCCAGAAGTCAAAACTGATGACAGACTTAAAAGATCATATTGTAAAATTTATTAATTTTAAAAGATATTTAAAACTATAGATAATGAAGATGCCCTTTTCCTTGTGAAAGATGATTGTGGTCTAAATTGTTTTCGCTTTGAAAGGATTCTTCCGACACACAGCTTCCTAGATTCGTTTTCCTTCAGGGGGAAGAAATGGTTTCGGTGCCAAGATCAGTGTCTCTGTGATGTTCCTTTCAGTGTCCACTTGGTTAAAGCAACAGAGAGGGGCAGACTTGCACCATAAAGGATGCAGTGCCGCTTCCCCAGATGCCTGAGTGGCAGGTGGAAGCACTGTGTGATTTTCTCTTTCATTCCCTTGTGTCCCACTTCATCCCAAAATGTGAAAGACTAGCTAAGCACACTTCCGCAGTCTTCTGTATTCACACCGGCAGTGGCACACTCCAAGCACCACACAGTGGTGAAAACTGGTGAAAACCAGGAATTGATCCATTTTAAGGAACATGGGCCCAGAACAACATTCACATAAAATGTAAGCAAAGACCATCTAAAATGACCAATGACCTTAAAAAAAAAAAGTAATAATAATTTAAAAAGTGTTATGTACATTTTACTACCTGGATATACATTTAAAACTGTAATTTTTCCTGTACAGATTCCGACATTTGTGAGTGTCAGGACTGTATGACTGACCTGCCTGGGCCTGGCCTTTCCTTGAGGAACCCTTTGAAGCCCCATGAGGACAGCTACATTCTGTCCCCAGGGAAGGAGGCCACTGGAAGGTGGAGCAAAGAGGGTTCACACTGGGCTCATCACAGTAACAACCAGGAACACAAGCCGCACCCTCTACTCTGCTCATTCATTTATAAAAGGGAGGGCTGGAGGTGTTTGAAGCAAAATGTTCAAAAGCTGAATACATTTCTCAAAGTCTACGAGGCCATCAAAGGTAAGTAACACTAGGCATTTACTGTTCTGAAACTGGTAAGGCCACCAGGCCCCTGAGATCTTGGCAGAATGCCCCATCTCTGTTAGGTGACGGGAGCACCTTAACCTCTGAGTTGCCTGTTGCAAGCCAGTCCCAGCACACAGCACCTATGTGTAGCCACAAAGCCTGGAACAGCCTGAGCAGGGTGTGGGGGCTGGTGCCCCACCTGACCCCGGGGATGGGTGACCAAGGGGGCAGGCAGCAGGTGTCCTTTAATCCGTACACAGTAGGCATACTTGTAGACTGACTGAAGAAAATTAGTTGCAGGACCACTCTTGTCCTTGTGTTGAGACCAGGACACAGACCAATACAGCATCAGAGGACAGAGACACAGTATTGATAAAGGAGCTGCTCTTCAGCGCTTTCCCGCCAAACCTGAAACTCACCTGCAAATTAACATTGGGTCCAAAGAAAACTTAGCAGAAATGGCAAGCAGGATCTAAAGACTCTGCATTTTTTTTTTTTTTTAATGCACAAAGGGGGGGGTATTAAACTCAGGGCCTTTGTACTGAGCTACAGTGCCAGCCTTTAAAATTTATTTTAGCTTGATACAGAGTGTTTAAGTGACTGTTAGGTTGAGCTTTTGGTTTTTTTTGTTTTTTTTTTTTTTGTTTTTATCGGTACCAGGGATCGAACTCATGACTGCCTGCTTGCAAAGCAGGTGCTTATGCGGCTGAGCTAAATCCCCAGCCCCTCAGGTTGAGCTTTTGAAATCCTTTTGCCTCGGCCTCTCTGATTGTGGGGATTACAGGTCTGCACCACTACAGCAGGCTTCTTCAGTATTTTGCGGCTGCCTCTTTTGATGGATCAGAAAGGTACAGGCCCAGGTAAACTTGAATTCTACAACTTAAAACAAAGCCTAATGGAATACAAAAGTCACCCAGCCTACATCATATTTTTACTTCTAGTCCTCTAGCAGTTTGCGGAACTGTGGATGACCTGAATGGGAATTTCAGAACAGGACTTACCCACCCTAGAAGGGAACAGATTGGAGTCGCAGAACTCTCTCAATGGCCTCATTATGACCTATTCTAGAAACAGATGTTCAGTCTTGTAAGACAAAAACTTATCAGATTTGTCCCTAAGCTGGGTCAGCTCGCCAAGGCTATATATATATACAGTTGAATTTCCTATTTAGTATAGTAAAAGCTAAAAGTCAAAATTCCCAAATGCATTTTTAGAATCCTGGCTGGCAGGCAGACAAATAGGGCTTGGCAGGAGCTGGGGTTGTTGACAGCTTGGTTCGCACTTCCCCTCTCCAGCAACAAGGCTTGTGCTGCGAGGGTGGCTCTGTGTCACAGGACAGCTGCCCAGGGAACAGGGCCAGGGCCAATCGACGCCAAGAACCAAGTCTCTGAGACCACTTGGCTCCCGGCTGAGGCCTGTGTGTATGCAAATTATGCTGCTATCGTTCTTGAGTTTACAACTTTTAAATGTTTCAGTTTCTCAAAAGATATGCAGAAAACCTCTTATGCTTTTGGTTCTGCCATTTGAGTACTATCTCATAAGACACTGAGACACTGCCAGTAATTGTTAGTTTTAAAGAATTTGAAACTGCTAAACAAGATTAAACAAAGGCAGGATAAAAAATCAATATTTAAAAATCAATATATCTTCCATCCACCAGTAATGGACTAGCTGATAGAAATCAGGAAGCCAATTCCATTCACAGTAGCTTTTAAAAAATATCTAGGACTCAACCTAACCAAGGAGGTAGAAATGTCCACATTGGAAATTTCAAAGCACTGAAGAAAAAAACTGAAGACACTAGAAGATAGAAAGACCTCCTACGTTCATGGATTGGCAGAATTAATGTTAAAACAGCCATGTGGCCCAAAGTGATCTTCAGATTCAATGCAATTCCTATCAAAATTCCAAATATATTCTTCATAGAACTAGAAAAAATAATCCTAAAATTGATCTAGAAACATAAAGACCCAAAATAGCCAAAGCAATCCTAAACAGAAAGAGCAAATCTGAAAGCATCATAATATCCAACTTCAAATTATCCTAAGCCATGGTGATAAAAACATCATGGTACTGGCACAAAAACAGTCACAAAAACCAATGGAATCAAATAGAGGACACAGGAACAAACTCACACAACTACAGCCATTGGGTTCTTGACAAGGAGACCAAAAATATACTCTGGAGAAAACACAGGCTCTTTTGCAAATGATGCTGAGAAAATGGAATATGTATATACAGAAGATTGAAACTAGATCTCTACCTCTCACCCTGGGAAGGATGGGGTGGGGGGTCAAGAAGGAACCCTGTTATATATACTGCTGTAAGGTTCATAAATGAACATAGCCACTATTGAAATCGGTATGGAAGCTATTGAAATACAACCGAACTACCATATAACCAAGCCACGTCACTCACTGGTATGTACCAGAAGTCAGCTACTATAGGAACACTTGTGTTTATTTTGGCACAACACTCAAATTATGGAACCAGCCTTGGTACCCATCAACAGATAAATGAAGACAATGTGTGCATATATATATAACCTGTACACATGTGTGTATACACACACACACACAGGTGTTATTCAGCTATAAAGAATAATGAAATTATATCACTTGCAGGAAAATGAATGAAATTGGAAATCATATTAAGCAAAATAAACCAGATACAGACAAAAACAATGTTTCTAAAAATGATGATAAAGTAGAAAGATTACTATTAGTAGAGAAATGGAAGAAAATAAGAGGGAGGGAGAACAACATGAGAGGGTAAGAGGAGGATGGAGAAATACAAGTTACACCAGGAAAAGAACACGTTATCATGAATTGAGGTGAAAAGGTGCCCAGTGTACACCATTAAGTAAAATGACAAGTTACAAACAGCACTGCCAGTTTGATTTTTTAAAAT